CAATAAACTCATCTGTTTTACTTCATCTCGGGATCAAGAACCTTATTTCTTCTGTTACAACAGGAGCTTGATTAGTGCATTGGTTGATGAAATAATCAACTGGTGGAAAACGGCCTGAGGGGGGAGTCCAACAGCTCTGTTTGGGATTAATGTTGTTAATGACATCAATAACTCGGTTGTTATCAGTTGCCTGTGAAGAGGAATCGTCGGCAAAATGTGCTCTGAGACAGATCCTGCGGTAAAAGCGTTTAAGGTCGACATTGGTCTGGGGGATGTCCAGCTTCCTGGGAACTGGTACAAAACTGAGCCCTTTGCTGAGGAAAGATCGCTAATCCTGTGAAAGGGAAAGGTCAGAAGGTATGGTGACAACAAGGTTAGGGTTGGTGAGGGTGTTCGGGGTGTTGATGTTTTTCTTCTGTAGAAGATGACTGAGTTTTTTGTCCTTCTCTGTAGTGAGAAACTGGTAGAGTTTAGAGATCTAATGAGGTTAGTTATGAAGGGAAGATGATGTGGAGCTGTCAGCCATAGAAATTCCTTAGCCTCTTTGATGTTGTTGTCGGAAAGGATAATCTGTTTATTGAGGGAGAAAATGATAGAGAGCATTAGTTTCCTAGAAAATTGTTTTAGAAGTCTCTGAGTGTTACTCTGGGTGGTATCAGAGTCAAAAGAAAAGGTATTAAATTTAAGGCGAAATCCTTTAGAGATGATATTATGTCAACGACATCTGTAAAGGAATAGAAGGTGGTTAGAAAGCCTGGTCTTGGAACAGATAGCTGTGAAGAGACGGAATGCTGGTTTAGTGAGAGAAGCGGGCAAGTGGCCCAGGGAGGAAGAGAAGGTATGACGAAGAGATCTAGAAAAAGATTTGGAGGAAGGCATGGTGGGTCGCAGCAGCTCTAGGCAGTAGTAGTTCAGGTGGGTAGCTGAGTCAGCATGCGTAGGCTGCAAAGGAATAAGTAATAGGTTTATTCCATGCTGAAAAAAAGAAGAAAGAGAACACAACGTTTCGGCCATGGAGCCTTTCTAGAATGCTGTTGAATAATCTTGAAAAATGTGTTTTTTTTATTAAAATTGCTTTGGGTTTTAGTAATCCAGGACCACCAAATGTTCCACTATGTGCCACATTTCACTGTTTCTTTATGTGCATTTAATGTTCTGTGACCGATGACAATTCTGGCAATAGATCTAACCACTGCACCTCCGTGCCACCCTCTAGCACCCTCAGTCTCTTTTAATACTCAATACTTTATCTACTGGTCTTCAGATGTAATATTGATTCCTAGTTTTGTTTGCATTTACACAGAGATAACTACATGTGTTTTGTTCAATGACAAGCTTCTTGTGAGTACTTTTGTTGTCATAATTTGACATAAATTCTGAAATTAAGATTACTTATATTAATTCTTATGTATGCCTTTATAAAAAATATATTTTACTATATTTATTTTTTTAGGGATAAGATTTGTTCGGTTTTCTGAACTTGAGTGAGCTCATTTGTTGTTAAGACAGTTTTTGTTCATCATGTTTACTGTGTTTACTATGTAGTTTCCTGCCTTTAAGCTTGATAGTTCTAAAAGGAATGTTTCTTTTTCAAATAGGATGTGTTTTTTTTTTAACAGGTACGATTAGTTGAAACCTAATTCACTTAACTTCATCAGCAGTGCACAACTTTTTTGTTTTCAGAGGGACAGGACCTGCATGAAGCTACAGTGTGACGTCTGTGACACATTCAAGCACAAACACATACAATCCTGTTCTATAATATATATACAGTAAGCAACTTATATAAATTTGTTATTTATTTTCACGTTTGTTCTCAGGTACTGTCTGGTATCCCAGATAATGTTCAATGAAAGAAAAAAAATATTAACTGAAGTTGCTCATCGTGAGATACTGGAGTGCTTCTCTGACACCATGTGAAGGGTGCTAGGCTCCAGAGAGGTGGTGGCCAGTCTCAGCACTACATGATCATGATCCTAGCAGATGATGCAAATATTTGAATGATCAGACTAAATCATTAGAACACACCTCATGAGAACACAAAGATTTTAGAATAATAATGCACTCAAATTGCTTCTCAGATAATGGTGACTCCCCCTCCACCTCCACCAATATGTAGCGTCACCTTAATGATGTGACAGCAGCCAATGTGCACCAATACACTAACCACACATCAGCTATCAGTGGGGAGCAGAACAGAGTAATAAAACGATGACGATTATTAGTAGGTCAGAACTGGTAAGAAATTAGACCAGAAAGTATTTACATGTGACACGCGATTTTGGTCACCGAGAAAAAATATTATATGCAATTGTAGTTGGTCTGAGAGGGAAACAAACCAATATTAAATTAATTTGATGATGTCATGATTTCATTTCTGTCCCCAAAACTAAAACCATACTGTCCTAGAAGGACACTTTGCTTATATATGAAACAAGAAAATGTTTTGTGACAAGTAAAGTACTTACATAAAGCAGAAAAATATAACTTTATTTGCAACATACAGCAAAACAGGGATTCAAAATATGCAGGCTGCTCTGAAAGCCTTAACTGTAAATTCTTTGAAAAGTAAAAGAAAAGTAAAAAGCTAATGTTGTTGTTGATCCCATGATAATGTGTCAAATAGAGAAAGAAAAGGTATAGGCTCAAATGTGTCTATAATTTGAGCTTTAGAAGGCTTAGCCCTATGACCAATACCTTTTTTTAATCATCAGAATATGCCAACATATTCTGATGTTATGAAAGGAACTTGTTTGAAGATATATTGTAGTAAGGTGATTAATTCCTTACCCTTGGAGACATAAACATTATGAGAGGAAAATGAATCAAACTAATAAACTAATTATTCTTGGAGTATTTGTGATGACACTTTATAAAGAAACACAATATAGGAAACACAAGAAGAGGTTTCAGATATTAGGACTGTTTTAAATCAGCAAGGTCAGCAAAATCCAAACGCATATAGGAAATAAACACAATTCCATTTATCTTTCCTACATATCTATTTCCCAGCTGCAACATATATACACTTTTAATGTAACTGTTGATTTGAATTCCACACTTTTTGCTACTGTATATATCTCAATATATTTTTGCTTTTTATTAATTCTCCAAACTGTCTAGACCATGCAAATGATGTTTCAACACAAATACCTACAGTAAGTCTTTCCCATCTTTCTAGCTCAGTGTTTTTTTCATATTTATAGTTTTATGTTTTCAGATGTACCTGCATTAACTTTCTTGTTTCTGATATGAATTAGGAAGAGCAGTGACCCTAGTACAGACCCCTGTGGTACTGCAGTAATCTTGCATTCCTCCCTTATCTGTACTCAACCTTATCTGTTTTCTATTTATCAACCAATTCTCATCCCAAACGCAACCCCAAATGCAACAATTTTAAAATTAATCCTTCTTGAGGAAAAATGATTTTATTAGGAAAATCTCTATCAAAGCCTCTTGACAATCTAAACATATCGACCACATAATTTTCTAGCCACTTCATTTAATTTAGGGTGGTCAGGGGAACTAAAGCTGCAGCAGGCTCAAGGCAGTGAACACTATGGGTGGGATGCCAGTCTATCAGGCGACACACAGACATGCACACCAGGACCAATTGTCACAGAAGACAATTAGCCTACCAATATGTTTTTAAGGTTGGTTGCTGCATCAGCACACGTAGGCTGCAAAGGAACAAGCAATAGGTTTATTCCATGCTGAAAAGAGAAGAAAGAAAACACAATGTTTCAGCCATGGAGCCTTCTTCAGGAAGACACGTTGTGTTTTCTTTCTTCTCTTTTCAAATATGTTTTTAAGCTGTGGGAGGAACGTGGAACACCTGAAGGAAACCCACATAAACACAAGGAGAACATAAAACCTCCACAGGTCAAGAATTGAACCCAGGAACCCAGCACTGCAAGACAGCAATGCTAACCACTGCAGTGGAAATAAGTTATGGATTCGAAACGTAAAAGGGCCAGTTTTGACAAGCAACATTTGAGGTCAAGACTGAATATTATTGGCAGGTAGAGCTGGGAGTCTGAATAGGAGCACAGGAAGTAAGTGCTCTATTTGAAATATGAGGTGTTGTTAAGAATGGAATAAATAAATGAGACTCACAGGTCTGGAATGATGCGGGAGAATAGGTAAGCAGAAAATGTTGATCAAAATGATGGCATCTTCATTTGAGAAGAGTTAGGATTTAATTGTCATAAAAGCTGTCAGAAGCATGAATTAGATGGTAAGGTATGAATAAATCTCTCAATGAATACTTTAGTGTATCACAGAAAAAAAACAGAAATTAAAAAGATTCCAGAGGGAAAGTTCCTTCTTTTGTCATTTGGAAGAAAATGTCAGTTATCATAATGATAAAATAAAAATGTGAAAGTAATACAATTAACCAATTGAAAGTACAATGCCTACTGTGTCTTATATACTGTACAACATACCACTGTTTATAAATTATTTGCAGTTTGAGCAGGCATGTATCTTCTTTGGCGCATGAAAGTGTTTGTTTTAAACATTCATTTTTGATTAACAAAATAAAAATATTCACTGAAAAAAAGCTACATTTGTAATACAACAAAATGGGACATCTGTGGAAGGAGCTGAGTATTTCGAAGAGGCATCATATACTGTGTAATGTAGATAAAAAAAAATAATAAAAATCGACATTATTAAAATGTGTATGATTTTATTTTTTTAGCCATGTTCTGAGAGTCATTTTTGTCTAAAAAAGGTTGAACTTGCCAACAATCTGGGATATCAGAATACAAAAAAATCTAAAGGCAATTGTTTTCTGCTTTTAGAGGACTCAGCATTTTAAATATTCAGTTTTATTGTTAGCCATGAGTGTCTGCAACTCATTGTCCTTCATATGCTTAACTGGCCCACATTATTCAGAACTCTGCAATGCACAACTCCACTGCTTTCAGTTGCAGAGCAAAGCTTCAGTTTTTGTCATTAACAACAGCGAAGGAGGGTGTGTCTGTGGCAGCTTAGTGACAGAGGGGTGTCTTATTAGCCTGAGAAGAATCTACGAAGGCAGGCACATGTTCTTTCAAACAACAATGCAAGGAAGTGTTTGAAGCAGATGAGGGCACTGTGGAATTACTGGAACTTTTCTCCTGGCTCTCTATTCCAACACTCTAATTCCTTTAGAGAATTTCATGTAAGGAAACCCCTCCGGAGCCATGGTCTGAAATGTGTAAAATTTGCCATGAGAGTGTCAGGCATTTCATACTTTGCTTCCAAAACAGCTAAGTAACCTGGGTTGGATATTTCAGTATTTTCCTCACTAAGTCACTGCTGTGGGGTGCACGAGAGGACGGTGATGTGAACCTCCTTCTTCTCCCTGAGCTCAGAGGCCCCCCGAGAAGATGCTAGTATCTAAGGAGGGTTCAGCTGGATTTTACGGGAATTTCTCATGCTTTTGTGGCTCTGGAAATGCTTGAGTACCAGTGAAGTGCTGCTTCCTGGCCGACATAGAGCTCAGGATTATGTTACTTGCTGTGTTTTTGACAGTGGTGGTCAGTTTTGCTGTGGCAAACAATATACTGGTCCCTGAAAAGACATGCTTGAATGGATACCATCTGGCTGAGGATAATTCAACCTGTGTTGGTGAGTCCTTAATTAGAGTGTTTGGGTTTTGCCTGCGCTTAAGTCAGTCACGTCATTGGTTTCTACAGACTATTATTGAACAAGAGGTACTGTATTAATGTTAACAAGAATCTCGGCATGGTTCTATTATTATTGGTTTTATTGAGGTCAGGAATGAAAAAAAAATATGTTGTGCTTTTCCTTTTGAACGTTTATACTGCAAGTGGGATTTTACAGGTAAAGCCAAATCTCTTTCTTTTTGATGGTGCATAATCGATTTCCAAACCTTCATTCCATCTGTAGAAGAGAAGAGCAATGGATATAAAGCAATGCATTTTCCCTTCAATTAAATATCTTGCTCATGATGGTTTTTCACTTCAGGAGATAAAGTGTTAGAGAAAATGTGTTATTTTGTATTCCATAAGCACAATGTTTTTCATGGATTTGTTGTTTCCACCTAAAAAAAGAGAGTATATATGACAACTATTTAATAGATGAAAGATTAAAGAATTGTAACTTTTGTACTAGTTGTATAAAAATACTTTTTTACACACATAATATGACTTATATTAATCTATTTCATCACTTTGTTTAAAAAACTGGAAACTATAGGGACTTTTACAGATTTCAGATATACAGTTGCACACAGTAGCACACACAGACATGATTGTTAAAAGCTGGTGATTTCACTGTACAGTAGATTAATATATTTTATTTTTTTCTTTGTAAAGAACATTTTGTTCCTAAAGTTTTACACGTCAGCAGATATTACTTCACCTTTTACCAGGGATACTGAGTTGTAAAGTTTTCTTAAATTAAATGATTAAATCAGTGGTATTTGTTGTTTCAGCAAAACTGTGATTTATGCATCTGAATATGTATATAAAGATATATGTTCTGTATGTACTTATCAACATAATAAGTGGTGTGAAATCACATTTCCATACCTAATATTGCATAATTGGTATAAAAAATTACAATTTTCCATGCTGGAGCTTATTTTCAGTGTTGCCTGAAAAGAAAACATATGTAGGGATTAAGGAATTCCTGACAGGTGATTTTCATATTTTATATGTTTATCTTAGTATTTCAAACTGCAAAATGTTAAATAAAAGGGCACAGACTCTACAAAGTATGTGTGTGTGCATACAGCGTGTGTGTGTGTACAATGTGTCTTCAAGCTACTATAACTAATAGGTTAAGGCTGTAGAAATCTTCTACTATTCAAATATAATTACATTTTAACTATTTCTGTACTTTTTTGTAATTGCTGAGTGTAATGAAAACAGGTATCATAAGGAATGTGTTACCATGAACATTACAAATAATGATAATAAAGATATCCCAATGAATTAGAGGGACATAGTGTTCCATTGTTAGGTGTGCCTCCTAACAGATTTCAAGGAAAGTTTTTTAATTGTAGTTGTAAAAGCATTTTTGTTGTTTCCAATTGCTATTTTTTCTGCTAAGGGTTGTACACAAGACAAGTCATTAGAGATTGACCTGAATACAACTCAAGGATGCCCTTACAGCCTACAGCAATTTCCATACTGATGGAAGTCGGAGAATACGATGATTACTTTTTCAAATAATGGAACTTTCATGGCCATTTTGTGTCTTGTATTGAGAAATGTTCCCTGGCGATGTGTATGAAAGTAGAGATTCTGTCCTGTCCACTACAGGCAAGATTTTGCTTATTTTTTAAACTTTCTGCTATACTGATACATTTGAGCTCTTTATGTTTGAGTTTTAAGAGTTGTTAATTATTTGTATATAACTTTTTGATTCATTTTTGAATTGTGCAGATAATTTCTTTATAAATAAAAATATACACTCCATTCTATGAAGCTGATGAATTAATATAGGATGTCATCTTTCATCTGTCTTTTTCTCAGGGTACTTTTTTCAGGGTACAGTAATTTTTGAATGTATTCAATCAATTGCAATTACAATATTTTTTGTGATTATCAGACTTACCTGTAGTAAACTGATAAGGGGGGAATTCCACTCCAGCAAATACAAGTATGAGAGCTCAATCTAGTAGAGAGTTCCAAAAGTTAAGATTCGACTCATTACATTTTATAATTTATTATAATACAGCACTTTAGAGAAATTCAAACCTGAGAGGTGGTGAAATATCATCTTGTTTAAAAATCAACAACAAAAATAAGCTTATATTATTAAGGCGTATAATTGTAACCTTCATTACCTATACTCTGAAATACTGTACAGCTATTTTGTTTCTTAAAAGTAGTAGGTTTTCTGTATGTATGATATTACTAAACTAGTGTAGCATGCATACTTGCTAAATACAGTATATTGGTTTAGTTTAACAAGGGAAAAAAAAGCAGGACAAATTCTGACTTATTACCAGCACAAACCTGAGGCAATCTGTGTTTATCAGCACATCAAAATTAAGGCCATTTCTTCTTTATCTTCAAATATAATCACAGGTTACATGTGTTATCTTTCTGTAATCTTATATTGACTGTACTGTAAATATTGCTAAGAAAAAAAATTAAGTTCAAAAAGTATTAACCCTCAATTTGTTGGCTGCCTGTACGCTTGCAGTGTTGTCAGCAAGAGCCTTAGCTCTGCTAATTTGAAGTAGCCCTGTTAAAAATTGGTAAATTTTGGAATTGGAAAATGCCCTTCATTTCTCCCATGACAGTATGAGCGTTATAGTAATGAAGCCGATTTGATCCGCATTTGGCAATACCAATGTGAGGCATGAAGAAAGAAAAATAATTGGTGTTTATAGAAAGTTTATAGAAAAGGCTAAATGTAACCAGATTTAAAAAAAAAGAAAACAAGATTTAGAGAAGTGATTTTACCAGCCAAAGGGGTCACTCTAGCTTTTTTATGAAAGTGTGACATATATAAGCAATTATTATTATATAGTAAAGTATCATGGCTTGGTTAAGACACAGCATTACTTGGTTCCTCTTTAGTATTAGTCCATTATAAAAGTAAATCCTTGAAACAACTCCATTGTTCTGAATACAGTATCCTCCAGCACACCACACATTAATAAACATATCATTACATTTTTGTAAAAACATGTGTCTGTGAGCTACCAAGCTGCATAATTAGTAACTACCAAGTTATTCTCTATTCCCCAGACATGTTGGTTTGAATTTGGGTCATATCATTTGCTGACTATGCCCAGGCTTCTTCAAGTGGAGCCAAAAACAATTCTCAAACTGGCACCAGTTTATGGTGTTCATTGGTCAGCCAGAGCTCACTTGGCTCTCTGTTCCTTGCAAAAACAACAACAAAAGGTACCAAGTCTCCTAACAGTGTAATGAAATAAGTGACAGCAGTTGACAGGTGGGTGTGCTAGACGAGCACGTTCCTAATTGTCCTTGTGGAGTACAGAAAACTACAAAACTTCAAAAACAAGAGATTTGTTTTTCAAAGTAGGTGGGTATATATGTTATTTGTGGAATTTGTATGAATTTGTGGAAACTTCAAAATTACTTTATGCAACTTACACTGGGGTAGATTTTCTCAGAAACGATTTTGAAAATAGTACCCTCTAAATGTACAGACTTTATCACAGGCTTTTTAGTTTATATGTAATTTAATTGTGTTATTTCTGAATTCTGAATGGTTTTATTATTCCCATTTTTATGCACACAAAGTGGTCCACTGTCTCCATGTTTTGGGGGACTCCATCTTAGGCTTAATTTCTATAACATTCCAAAGACATTGTTGTGTCTTTCAGACAGTCTTTGTTCATACAGGAGAGTTTTCATTAACAGAGGTGTTGCTAGGATACTCAAGCTTTGTACCAGAGCAGTATGACTTATTTGAATCTCACAGCACAGAAAATGTGACTAGACTCAATAATGATTCTACTACATTTTCACTACAAGAAGAACATTAAAAATCTTGAAGTGAAGCTCATGAAATACAAAAGTGTTATATGAAACCTTAAAGAGTACTATCCTGAACTAATGTCTCAGAAATAACTTCATAAAAATAAATCTAACATTTTTTGTTTTACATACAAAAAATATTGCCTTTAATTTGTCTTCATACACTTATAGGATAATCATAAAAGACAATGTACATAAAACAGAGTCATTGGAAAATCTTTTTACTCCTTGCAAACTGAGAAGGAATCAACAAAGAAAGCAGATTTTAAAAAGAGCTCTTTCCAAAATATTCCATCTTCTAAAAAAAGAAGATAACTTTTACTGAAATACTATGTATGATGCATTTTTATTTAGTTCTCAATTGCTTTTGTAAAAAAGAATCAATTAGCGTGTAACAATACCCCTCAAGTTATACAACAAGCTCACTGGCAACCAGTCACTGAGGATGGTATTAATTGTTACTTATTAATATCACTTGTAACAAGTCAAGAAAACTTTCAAACCAAATCGCTCAGAGGGAGACTATGGTGAAAGCTGGTGGCTTTGCACGCAGATTTAAACCAATTGTCCTTGGACTACAGGGCCTAACCTGTATTTCAATTAAAATCCTTTATTTTTCTGCTACCTAGGAACTTTTTCATAGTACAGTACTTGATACAGTACATAATAGGGTAGTGGACTGATTTTTAACACCTATTATTAATACATTTGTAGGCCTTGCAGCCGATGACATGTGCACCCAGGACATCTGCATTGTCATTGAACACAGTTACTGCAAGCTTGCAACTTTGGTTATCAATCTCCCAGGTGGGGGCAGCACTTCAATGATGGAAGAAGGGGGTCCCCACCTATATATAAAGTGCTTTGGGATCCATTGAGATGAAAAGGGTAATACAAATGTAAAGTATTTATAAACACAAAGAAGAGTGGGTGTCTGGAACAAACCACCCAGCCATATTGTTGAAACTCATTCCTTGGGATTCTAAAGAAGAATATGGATGAGATTCTTGGATCATTAAGCTACACACAACCAGGATGGCCTCAAATGACATTCTCTTGTTAGTAGCTTTGTTAAATTCATATATCGTATCATTGTTTAATTTCAAACATTCCAGATATTGCTGGTACCATTTTATATTATTGTAACAAATTCGGGTTTCGGTACAGAATGGAGCAGGCATGGGACTCAGGGAATAGGGTTGAACACATTAATTAACTTGAACTTGAGCCGGGAAAGGTACACATACAAGGACAGGAGTACAGCGCTGCATCTTCACTAACACACAGACACGAAGGGAAAGGGCTGTCTCCCAGCCTCTATATACAGTCCAGTAGTCCCACCCCCAGGCGCTGTTCTCAGCCTGCCTTGCGTGCGCATGATAAAGCGTCTCACGTGGCGCTACATTATTATATTTCATCTGGCTTCTTGCATTGCTTTTTGAATTGATTCTCTTGATCTTTATATTATTTTGTAGCAGAAATAACTTTCTAAAGTACCACAGTAGTATATGAAACTTTTATATAACTTTTCAAAATTAAGGTGGAGATGTCCCTGATGCTGAAAAAAAAACAGTTTAAAGATTAATTTCAGAGAAAATTTGGTCTTGATTCAAGTTCTGATTTGTTGTGTTCGTACTAAGAGATTTCTGGGAGCTGCCATCTAGTGAAGATGCAGAGAAAAGGTGAGTCAGGAAGGAGCTCAGAGATGGACCCAATCTATTGAACTTAGTCAAGGGCCCATTACCTTATTTTAACTGTGTGTTACTAGCCCTGTAAGAAGAAGTTGTTTGGATTACTTCATTGTTTTCATTTTTGACAATCAGAGTAATTAAAAATCTCCTAAAATCTTTAAAAAAACCTTGAAAGGTCAATTTAACAGTTTAGAGAAAGTTAAACACAAATGGTACTGTGTTTCACATTCCTTTAATTCTGTAAGCAATTTTAAAGGAAGAGTGTTGCGTGTTTTGACAGCCCAGCTGGAGGCATATATTGTGCATCTCTGAGTTTTTGCTTGGCTATTTTCTCAAGGTTGTAGAATTATACATAATGTACAGTATATTTAAATATTGGCTTTAACAAATTTGCATCATGCCGTAAGACTGTAGCTTAGAAAATTACAGTAGTTACTAGAATCAAGCAATGAGGTCTTACTAGCTTTTAGCTTTTATCTGAGCAAAACTTTATAAAGGGTTAATGAAACCAATTGTGAAATAAATATTTTTGTCATTATTTAAAGATCCAGACCCTTATCTTATCTTCAGCCCTGGCAATGCAATCTTCAGGATCGATGCAGATGGAAGGAATCTCAGGAGGATAGTAGCCAATGCTGGGAAATCAGTCTTTCTTGATTACCACTACATTGAGGGTAGAATATACTGGGTGAACTCTGCTGCAGGTCTCCTTGAGAGGGCTTTCATAAATGGAACAAAAAAGGAGGTACAGTAATTACGTCAATGTTGTGACTGGTGCTGAAATTAATTTCTGATTTACCTTCTTTGACTAAGGGCAATTTTAAATCCATAGAGGATGGATAGGAATATTAAGCTTACTTTACTGTGGGAAGTTTATAAATTGTAAAACCGTGTACCTTAATGGCTTCACTGACACCTGGTTATATCTAGTTCACATTGCGATGAACAATATAATTAAAACTGTTTGACAAGTTGCAACATTAAATTCATTTAGAAATCTTTTTAAAATTCTTTGTGCTTTATCTATTTTAAACAGATTTATTAAAGTATTTTTGAAAATAAATTAAGCTATGCACACCCATTTAATCCTACAATGGGATTTTGAGTGCTGTAAGCATCTGCAATAATTCTGAACAATTTTCAAGTTTGTGCTTTAGTTTTCTTATAGTCTCTTTATACTCAAATGTGTAGAGTATGATAATCATTCTCTTTCAAAACTAGACTTACTGAACAAGCAACATTTCTGTAACCTCACTGCTCTTCTATCCCACACTTTTTGAGTGCATTGAATTATGCTTTTGGACACACTTTAAAATAACTGCCTGTTCAAGTTTAATGTTGAGTAAAGGAACCCATGTGAGTATGCTTGGAACACATTATAAATACAGTTTTATAAATACTCTTTCTTCGCATTGATTAAGGTGATCTCATTTAAAGGTGTTACAGTAATTCTGTTTTGTTTTTATTGAATATCTGGTGTTTTACATTCTTTCAGAAAGTGCTTTCCTCAGGAAAAGGTATTTCAGGCTTTGCTGTGGACTGGCAACGGAACAGAGCCTTTTGGACGAACCACCGAAGGAGAAACATTGAAACAGCTGAGACAAGTGGAAAGAATGTAAAGGTCCTTCTGCAGAACCTCTCTCAGCCGCGAGGTATAATTGTTGATCCAAACAACAGGTAATATTTTCATTAATTTAATAATCACTTTGGACTCCATCTCTGCCAACAGTTGCAACTAATCATCAGCTTTATCAGTATAAATCCAGCATTTAGTGTAACATAAAAGATAGAAGTCCTTTGGATAAGTAACGCTGAACAAAGCTGCTGGATTGTTCTCTTGGTTCTACCTTTCCATTTTTGTTTTTGTCTAGATTTAGTACTCAAGACAGGGATTCCAGTTACATAAGTTACATAATATAGGCAATTAAGCCCATATAATTATCTTCAAGTCTCTGTAGTTCTTTGAATTTTGTTTGCCTGTTGCTATAAACCCAGAACCCCAGACAACCACATTCTTTCAAACATGACTGGCACTTAGGTGTGATCTGACTGCCTTGGATATGCAGTTCCATGCTATGGTGTTTTGCACAGCAATGGACAAGGGCCAAGGCTATAGATTCACTGGGGTGAAATAAAGAGCATTTTTATTTCCATGAAATAAATCTTTCATTTACTTTTTATGGAATAATTGTGAGAAAGTATAATCATTTTATACATCAAATAAAATGTATTACTAAAATCTAATCCTGACATTTTGGATTTTTTGAAGATTACAATACTTCTCCTCAGTTACCAATTTCACATATTCACTTTGCACATTTTAATTTTTCTGTATTTGTAAACATGATTTCCTTCTTAATTAGATCTTGTTATTCCATGTTCACTCACATGAATGGTTTCTGCAGCATTTATAATGTTCTCTAATCACCTGTTGAATACCTGCAAAAGATGGTAATAATGAACAAACAATTACAAATAGTTAAATTAAGCAGTGTGCCCTCGGTTTTTAAGTTTAAACGTAGAATTAGGCATCCAAATATTTTAATTCATGCCAGTGGAAAACAGACTTTATAAGGGCTGCTAATTGATACAACTCTTCATAAAGTGCAAATTGCAAACAAAACTTTTGTGTATACTGTATACTGTACAGTATACAGTATATGTGTACAGTATATATATACAGTATATAGGACTAGACAGATTCGGGGTCAATTCTCAGTCAAAAGTTATGAAGGCAAGCTTATGGCTGCATTGATAAAAAGCCTGGGCTCTCTGACAAGGTGGAAAAATCGCACCTTTCTGCCAGCTGTAATTCAGACAGGTAACCAAGAGATGTCACTTTCTCATGGAGTGGTCAGCATTCAGACACAAACAACACAGCAGCACACTTCATAAGGTTTTGCATGTTGCTCTGACCCCTCATGACCACAACATCTCCGCATACACAACCTTCACCCAGGAGACACCTATTACACTCTTACACCTGAGTAATAACACAGGCATACAAACTGGAGCTGGGGGTTAAACCTCAAGGTCAGGCACCCTCATGCACTGTTCTGATAGAGTGGAGGTTGGCTATTTTCAGGCACAACGTTTTCTAGCAAATAAGCATCAACAGCATAACTAAATATTTGTACAGTGATGTGAGAATTTTAATTTACTGTATCAATTTGAAATTGGGACAGAAAATTGCAAGAATATTTTGATAAGTGTTCAGAATAAATTAAATGTAATAATTTAAGGTCTCACACCTGGATTCTAAATATACTAAATATTGATATAACACCAACACGTGCATAACAACACACGGTCTGCTGTGATACTAAAGGCTAACCAATCACTCAGGGATCGCAAAGATCAAAGTTAATCATTTCAGAGTCAAAATATATAGATTGTAACATGTGTTATGGTCTTCCTAACAGGCTTTATTAGTCCCTTATAATAATTTTTTAAATATATATATTTATATTCTAAGGTACACATAAAATATGTCTTTATTACTGTGAACTACAGTAACTATTAAACATATGTTTGGAATACTAGTTTAGTTTGTGTAGAGAGAGAAGAGGAGTCTGTGAGTACACCATCAAAAATTAGTTAGGTGCTAGCTTTTATGGTGCAACATTACAGCTGATGATTGGTTTAGGATGTTATCAAGTATGCTCCTGGCACACATCATGCAGGTCCCTCACTGGTACAGTAGATATTTGTTTGGTTGATGAGGAGTAAACTCTGACCCACTGTCTTGGGGAGAAACCCACTGTCTTTGGGACTACAGACTTAATGGAACCCATCTAGGCTCCATTCATCTAGACTATATATTATTGGATGGTTCAGCATTGGAATTATTTTTGTGAAGTCTTTTAGCAGATAGGCATATTCCTCTTTATTTATATAGGGGCCCAAGCTGTTTGGTCAAGAAACAAGATTATTAGAAATCTTAAGAACACTCTAAGTGAATGAATTATAAATGAACCTTTATTGCCCCTAAGGAAATTTGTCATACACATCAAGAGCTCATAAACATATGACATATACAACAACAATACAATACAACAACAGAACAATACCATAATACAAAACAACATTTAATAACATTGTAGCTGAAATAATATTGCCACTCATGAAGACAGATTACAGTACATTTCAGACAGACATACTGTATATAGCTTTTGTCATCCATATTCTCCCTTTTATTGTCTTTATTTCTCACTTTAATTAATTATTATTTTTATCGATTATTAAAGTCCAATCTTTTCGCTTCCAGCATGATTTTCTGGATTTCGGATGGATCAATGCCAAGCATCCATCGGGCAAATCTTGAAGGTGAAATGACAACAACAGTTTTGAAGACAACTCACCGGCTTATAACAATCTCTCTGGATATTGTTGACAAAAGACTGTTTTGGGTTCAATTCAGTTCAGAGGATGGGAGTGTTGTTGGATCGTGTGACTACAATGGAAATTTCATTCATATTCTAAAGCAAACACTGGGGTAAGCCTTCTCACATCTCTCATTTTTCTTATTCTTTCTATATGTGAATATTGACAGACTTTCGCAAAAATGATTAAAACCCATCTTATATCTCTCTATCTGATCCCAGCTTTAACACACCGGACATTTAAAAAATTCTGACAGATGATAGTAAAATAGAAATCAGCATTCCTTCAGCAGCTGATTTCCTTCAGCAGAAATCAGCAGCTGTTCATTTAGATGGCTGTGTTTAGCATAATTTAGTTGTTTCTATAACCTCTAGAAAAATCAAATAAAACATTAGCTAAATAAGGAACAAGTAATAGATCTATTCCATGCTGAAAAAAAGAAGAAAGAAAACACAAATTTTCAGCTGTGTTCATCTGAACACTCCACAGCCGAAACGTGTTTTTTCTTTCTTTTCATTGCAGCATGGAATAAACCTATTACTTGTTCCTTTGCAGCCTGCTGATGCAGCTACCCACCTGAACTACTAAATAAGACATCTCTAAAACAAAAATCGTTATACTGTATAAATGGGAGAATTAAACAAAACCAGGAAACACTCAACTCAATAAAATGTCATTAATCTTTTAAAAATATTTTATATTTCTTTTACCAACACTTTGTGTGAAAAAATATACCTCAAAGGATGCATGTAGTGCACAATATAACCAATTGCAAGGTGGGTTTGTTTCTGAAACTTCAGATACAGTAGGTACTGTATGTAAAAGTACTGTAGCCCAGTCATTTGGGACACTGAAACTCTGGGGATGGGTGGATTGAACAGGTCTTTGAATATCAAGATGGTGGGCATGCTACTTATGAAAATAGAGCATCTGTCTCTTGTGGTGTATGTTTATTGAAGGCAACTCCTGCTGGAAAACACTATTCATATAATCTCTGTGACCCAGCAGGGGGGTCTATAAAATCGGGCACAGGCTTGCTTGTCAGAGTAAGAGACTTTTATGAATGGATTTTGTCACTGTTCACACATTTGTGCCATCTGTTTTCATTTTTCTGAAATTCAGCATCTGCAGAGCTAGCCAAAGTTTGCCTAAAAATACTCAAACACATTGAGACTACAAGTTTCATCACAGTACTAAAAACTGTGAGGAAACAGTAGTCATTAATTTTAGATATGAATAAAGGATTATATTTAATTAAACAAGATAAAGACAATATAATGAGTTGACAATAAATATGTTCTCCTTTAAAAGCTTGAAGAATTAAAAAATGTCTTTTTAACTAATACTTAAAATTCATAGACAATGTAGACTACTATACTATGGGAATATTCCTAAACAATAGAAATCCCAACAAAAACCAAAGAAATTGGATTGTACTTCCTGTGTCCAGTTAAACATATGTTGTTTTTTTCTCTGTAGATCCCATCCTCTGTCAATATCTCTGTTTATGGACAGCCTTTACTACTCTGACGTGATGAATGGAACCATAAGACGAGTGAATAAATACATTGGTGAAGATGTCGTGAATATCGGTCCTAAATATTCACTTCATCCTCCTGTTGAAGTGAAGGTGGTGCATCCTTTCAAGCAACCAATGGCAGGAGAACCTTTTTTTCTCAGCTTAGCAGGTTGCTGCTTAATTCTTTTTAAAAAATAGTGTTTTCATGCTTTGCAACACAGAAAACCAAAATACTGTAAGTCTCAGCTTACAGAAAACAGGCAGGTCCTTGACAATGTAGTAAGAACTGAATTACTGATCAACAGGTTTTTAAGATCATTTCACTAAACCAGCTTATAAGACATTTAATGGAATCAGGAGTATGTGAAGCACTTCATTTGCTATTTTTTTATATTTTCTAAGTAAGATATAACTGATACAGTATGTTTGATATACCAAGAAATAAAGGACATACAGTATTATTGTTTTAATTTAGAGTTTGAAAAATACAGTATGCTTTACAACTATGCAGATATGTTCTACAACTGTTCTTATATCAAATTATTTTATGACAAAAATAACAAATTACTCATATAACATTGTTAAAATAAAATAATCAGGAAAAGTTTAAATTAATTTACTGACAGCAGAATGTTTTTTAACAGTGGGGTTGTGTTGTATTTTTTTATCTCTTTTAGGACATGATTGGTCTCCTTGGTGATAGGAACATATAAAGATCCAGTATATTTAAATAAAAAAGAATGTTTCTGACAGTGACCCAGTCCATTCTATAACATGTATATGCATGTACCATACTTTGAAAAGACAACAGTATTAAATATACAGCACATCAAAGCTCATTTGGCACCTGATGTTTTATGGAAGTTATTAACTGAAGTTTGGGTGGAATACCAACGACAAGTGAATTTCATGCAGCTGCACTTAATCACCCTCATCACCATACTAGCTACATAAACTGACCTCAAACAACTCCTTTCACATTCATCTGAAGCATCCCTCCTTCACCCCAACTCCACCTTGAAGCTACCCTTTGGTTAACTCCTCTCTGAATGGGTTTTGAGAGCCATTAATCAAATGGTTTAAGTCAAAACTATCTCACTAAATCTTTCAAACGTTCAGAAAGCATTTAATTCTTGGATGTTATGTCCCCGTTAAAATACATTTTAAATAGTGAGATTTGTTGATAGTTTGAACATAATTGTACCTTTGGTTAACACCTACTGTATTGAACTTCTGTTGTATGCTTTCATCAAAGTACCTGGTGCTCTGCAGTTAGTTGAGTTAAAAATGCTGAAATTAGGTTTTAGAAAATAGCCATATCAAATGGCACAATTGTAATTAATTCAAGAACAATAAAATAGTAAAACATACAATACTATTTGATTTAAATCAATACAGCAACTGTGAGATTAGCTTGCTAATATCATCAATCTCTATATCCTAACTTTATTGGGTGGTACCAAAGATGGCAGTGTGTTGTGTTTCACACTAAAACATGCCAAAATTGTTTTATCTGCGCCTTTTCTGCCTATGCTTAGAATCCAACTCCTATCATCTATAGTATTCATTTTCTTAAACACTGTATCCAGTACATGGCTGCAGGGAAGCCAGACCATCCCAGGGTACACACAGACACAAACATGACAGGGGAAGGAAACCAGAGGACCTAGAAGAAAACCACATGAACACAGGGAGGCCATACTATACACAGAGAGCACCCCAGGAGTTGAAATCAGGGTCCCAGCATTGCAAAGCAGCAATGCTAACCAGTGCACCACTGTGCTGCTCTATAGCTTGAGTATTCAATGAAATCTAAGATACTTTATTAATCCCATGAGGGAAATTGCAGTGCAACAGCAGCTTAGCACAGTCAACACAGCACAGTGTATCGAAAAAATACAACAATACAATACATTCAATACCGTCAGTACAGTCAGTGAGAAGTACACTAAAAAATAAGTTGCTCACAGTATAGAATGTACAAAAAATAGAACAGTACACAAAAAGTTGAATTGCACATTATAAATATACAAATAAAAGAAATAGACCTGAGTGTTGCATTAGTACTGTGCATCAGGATAGTTATATGATATTGTGTTTCACAGGTGGAAGGTGTGATGAGCTGAAGGAGAATTGCACAAGGGTGTGCTCCAGGCACACACAGACAGGACAGTGCAAATGCAGTGAAGGATATGTCCTCAACAAATATGGAAATTACTGTGAAGGTAATATTTAATCTGAGGTGTCTATGAACACAGTCTTGGACAGATGTCTGTACTTCCTCCACAGCTTTTGGTACAACTGCCCAATGACTGTACAATCATTCATGTGACCTAATGGTGGTGAACTTATGAACTGTTACAACTACAGGTGTTAGGATCAGTCATGTTTAAATGATGTGACACACAGGGGAAAGGAAATGGTGGCAGAATCCTCTGATGCTGCCCACTTTCGAGCCAGTTGTCTTTTACACACAGCATAGCCCTGTAATGAAAGTTTTAGAGCATATTGGAGAAGAGACATATCCCTCACAGGGAGCATCGCACTCTTCCTGCCACCCAGAAAGCCACAGGGGTTGTTGTGTTTGATAAGAGAGTCCTGGCTGACCATTGACACTAAGTACTATATAATTGATTGGGGAATCCCAGTCATAACTGAATAATGGCATAACCCAGGCTTGAACTTGTGATGCCTAGATCACAGAATTCACCCTGTGTTACCTGTTGAGCTACTTGGGAGGCCACACTGTGCATTTTTGACACTGAAAACCAACTTCAGCCTTCAGATCATATCAGGTACAGTATGAACAGTAGAAACTATTGATACTGGCTGTATTTATTACATAAATTGTATTTTTCTGCTTTCATAAACAATATAAACATAATTGTGTGTGTATATGTATATAAATCCCATAATCACCTATACTGATATATTCTGAAGAAATAGTGCACTTTACATACAGAAAAGAACACACCAGAAACAAATAGACTAGTGCAAATATATTACTTTTTACATTGAGAGTGCTTCTCAAAGAAGAATACTGCACTCTACCCTTTTGGCTTAAAAACCTTTTGTATTGTTTTTTTTTCAACTAGATGTCAATGAATGTGCGTTTTGGAACCATGGCTGCACTTTAGGATGTGTTAACATTCCTGGATCCTATTTCTGTACCTGTCCTGACAATTTTGTGTTGCTTCCTGACATGAAAACCTGTCAAGGTAAGATAGTCTCACTGTACTTTAATTAAAAATAATAAATGTCATTTGCAGCGGTTTTGCCAAAGAAGAGAGGTTCCTGGTAAAACACCAGCAATAAGTCTTTAGTATTGTCCCTTAAACTCATAGGAGTGTGAAGCACCTCCGCTCTCACTCTCACCTTTAATTTGAGAACTTATTTTTAGAGCCTGTTATTTTTATTCTTGCCAGTCTCGAGGCATTTAAAGACGAGATGACTTATTCTCACTCAAGAAATTATTTATATTCCCTGTTAGCTTTACAAGAAAGGAGTTGTACAATTTTTGTAACATTTCCCCAAAGAACTACTTTTGGACCCTTTTTCACAGCACAGCACCTGTGAAACAGACAAAATAAACAGAGGAAATATTTGTATAGGTTAGCTCATTTGATGCATCCCATGTAATGTTTTTGCAGTTTATCCACATTGTTCTATGAAACTACAGCTTTAAAAATACCTTATACACAAAGCAGAAGAATGGAGGTAAGGAGAAAAATAGTGACAGCATGAGTCTGTCACAGTGACATAATCCCCTTGGAACCTGGTTAGTGTTGAATTCTCCAGGTCTCCAAGTCTCTGAGCAGTGGCTTTGTGTGGTTCTGAACATGGATTTACCAGTGAGCTTTTGTGAACAAATCCTAGTGACAGAGACATACTCACCACAGTCCATGGTCCAGGATGTTTAGTAGACCTGAAGTCATCAACAGTTAAAGATTTGGAAAGCAAACAATTCAATTTTGTAACTGAGAGCTCAGAAGATACAGTAGCCTGACGTACTGTACATAATTTCCACACTGCCTTTACTAAATTACCTGATTTACTCTCCCAATCTGATTCTGGGTAGGTAATTTGAACTTTGTTTTAGAGAGCTGACTGTCCTATCATTTCCTTTATTGTGCGATCCTCAGGTTAAAAAAGTTCTCTCCAAATTTGACGATGCATCTTTAGAATAGAGATGTTTAAAGCATCTGGGGTATTGGAAGGGAGTTTTAACCCTGGATTGTATTATTTTATTTAGAAAGCAAGGTTCATCTCTCTCCTTGGTATGTTTAGTGTTTCAGGTCACAGGGTTAAGTTTATGGTATTTCTGAGTACAGTATATATCACCCCAGCTTCTGAGATGTCTTGTTTTGTAAATAGTGTAACATTTAATGTTGTTTGTTGTGTGATTTAGTTTTGTGTTATTGTTATTTTAATATATTACCTTTAAACCTCAACTCATATAGTAATATAACGCAGACACAATGCTGGATGTTTATGTGGCATCACCAGACTTTTTTATTCTCTTCCCCTTAATTACATTTCTTCCTTTGCAGTACTGTAAATCCAGTAAGAGTGTGTGAAAAGCATTAACATAACAGTGCTACTGTAATGTAGATAGGAAGTGTATAATACAATACAGTTCTTGTTAATACATATTTTTTTGTTCACGTCTCTGATTTATTTCTCTTTTGATAGAGCTGTACTCAAGTGCCTAAGATCAGACCTACTGTACAGCTCAGACTTATTTCCCAGTATACTTTACTGACACCATCCTAGTTTGTAACAATATGACCGTTAAAATGCAAATAATGAATGGTTTGCTTTTGTCATTCTTAAATTAAATTTGAAGGTTAAACAAACATCTACAGCTTGCAAGAAAGAATATAATGCTAAAAATAATTTGTGCTAAATTGTTTGAGAATACAGGATAGTAAACATTAAAATCTAGAAAAGAAGTATGAGGAAACTACAGATAGTACCTACTTCTTTTAACTTACCAAACATTTTATCAAATTTGACAGGTTAAAAAAATCTGCCCTTTTTCCTTTTTTGCCACAGGACTGACTTGATAATCTTTTCTCCCCACATTACTTCAGCAGGTTTCACTTTAAACAACAGAAGTGTGGTTTGTTTAATCAGTCAATAGTGGATAGTTTACATGCACATCTCTTTTTGTAAAGAAGTACTGCCTGTTTTATGTCATAAACGCAATTCCCCTAATGTTTCAATGTTTCTATATCTAACAGTGCAATGTGATTAGAAGTGTGTGAAACTCATAAGAAGCAATACATTTAATCAGCACTTTTACAATACTTAAGCAGGTTTAGAGTAATGTCAATGTCTGTGATGATCATTGCAACCTTAGGCACAATCCATCATATTGACAATGGAAGACTAATAAACCTTAGCATGTTTTCAGTCAGTCCATTTTGATGGTTTTTAGATTTTATGTTTACACATTATGATGATGTAGATGGTTTAATCTTAAAACACAGATAATTCAAGCTAACAGAAAAACAGGAGTGTGATATTTTAAACTTAATGTAAACAAAAATAAAGAATTATATTTATACTTCATCAAAAACTTTTTTACTGGAAATTGACTTCTATTTTGTGCAGTCAATAAGAGAAAATGATACAAAATATACAGTGCGCTTGAAAAACTATTCACCATCCTTCCATTTATGTACCACTTTGTTGAATTACAAAAGACATATACACATTTTTAAAGTGATTTTTCAAATCAAAACTTGAATGCTCAAACAGAACACTATTATGGGCAGAACAGTCTGAAAGAGAACACTCTCTCTGCTATGAGAAAAACAAAATTCAGGTGCTCACAATTACTTTAAAAGTTATACAATTAGTTGAATGGCCTCTTTTCTTTTTGTATATAATAATATTGCTCCATTTGATCGTAGAACAAACAATCCTATTTCCATACATTCCCTTAGTCTGATAATGAATTGGAAGTACTGTAAAGTATACAGTATATATGTTTCAAAGATACAAAGTATTTCTTGGGGGCACAGTGGTTAGCATTGCTCTTGTGCAACATTGGGGTCCTGGTTTCAAACCAGGTCTGGGGGGGCTTTCTGAGTTGAGTTTGTATATTTTCACCGTGTTTGTGTGGGTTTCCAGTGGGTGCTTTAATTTCCTGCCACAGTCCAAAGACATACTGATACTGTAGGTTAGTTGGCTTCTGGGAAAACTGGTCCTGGTGTAAGTGTGTGTGTCTTTGTGTATACTGTGCAATGGTCTGGTGTCTTATCCAGGTTGTATCCTGCCTTGCGCCTGTTGCTTTATGGGAAAGGCCCAAGCTCCCTGTGACCCTGGTTTAGAAAAATTGGTTAGAATATGGAATATTGGATGAATATTCCTTTCAGCAAGCTGAAATCAATTATTAAGAAAGGGAAGGTTTATTGCACTTTCCAAATACTGTCTAGATCAGGCTGTTTCTTCAAACTGAACAGCTGAATAAGGATTAAACTGGTTAGGGATGTCACCAGCGTTGAATCCAAACTTCAGTAGATGAGAGAAAATGTCCATGAATCAACAAAATTCTAGTCATTCCACAGAGCTACTCTGTACAGTAGAGTGGTAAACCCATCTCAGATCCCACATGGAGATTGTGGCAAAATGTTTTAGTGATAATGTTAACACGTGGAAAAAAGTCAAGTTAAAACTGGAACTTTATAGTCTAAATGCAAAGCATTACAGTTTGGGTAAACCCAAACAAGAGCATCACCAAGTCAGCAACATTCCTACTGTTTAGCAGGGTGCTGGCAGCATGATGTTATGTGACTGATTGTCATCAGCAGAGACTCAGGAGCTTGTCGAAGACTAAAATGGAAATAGAGCAAACTATAAGCAAAGTTAAGAGGAAAACTTGTTTCAAGTGTTTAATTTGTCAGTCATATTTTATTTCTCTTATTTCTCATACACACAAAGAGTAATCTGTTTCTTTTGATGCTTAGTATATTATGCATCTGCCTATATATATAATATATATATGTTATATATATATATTTCCTGCTGGTAGAAGAAAAATACGTTGATTAAGACAAATCAGTAAAGACAGTAAACATTTCAGAAATACATTTTTCTCTAGGTCTTTGAGTATCCAAGATAAAAAAGTTAAATCTCGTGTGGAGATTGGAACACTGCTTTTTAAGTGATACTGTAAACATGTGGCAAAAGGAGAAGTCAAAATTGGAACTTTATGGTCTAAATGCAAACCATTACGGTTTGGACAAACCCAACACAGAGCATCACCAAGTCAGCGACATCCTTCCTGTTTATCATGGTGCTGTCATCATTATGTTATGTGTCTGCTTATCAGCCATACTATATTATTATAATACATGCCCACATAAACTTATTGAAAGTAATACATTTCTTTTGATTCTTAGTATATTATGCATCTGCTTGAGATTTATGTTACTATATGTATATTTTCTACTTGCAGAAATAAGTTGATTTAGTCTAATTGAAAGACAGTAAGCATTTCTGAAATACGTTTTCTTTATGTTTTCTTTTAAATCTGCATGTATTTATTGTTACAGAGGTACTCCCTTGTGCAAACAACTTTACAGAATGTAGTCATGGATGTATTCAGACAGATAAAGGAAACATCTGTTTCTGTCCAGAAGGATCCATACTGAGACCAGGTGGAAAAAAATGTACAGGTGGGATTATATCTATCATCATTTCATAGAAATGAAATTGTATGTGTACTTCTACAGTGACCTATATAATATGTAAAGTTCACATAATTATCATTAACATCTTAGTTTTTTTTGCATTAATGTCATTTTCGTGGCGCTTTATGGTCTAATTGAAGCCCCGAGACAGGCTGAAAGTTATCAGTGTTTGCTAAAAAATAATCTTTACCTTCTCTTTAATACTGTTGGTAGAGCATAAGAGTCATAATCTCAGGATAGTGGGTTTGTGTCCCACGTCAGGCACCAGGTCCTCCATGTTGGAGGTTGGGCACAAGGCTAACAACTCTGTCCCATAAAAAAATGAATGTTACGGTAACAGCAACAGGATGCTGGAAGGCATAACTGGCAAATATCCATTCATCTCTTTAACAGATACAGAAAATATGTATTGTAAAGATTTTGATGAGTTAATTTTAGTTTTTGTTGTATATGCTAAGAAAATAAACAAGAACCTCCAGAGGTTATTGAATATTACATCTTGTGTTCAGGGTGCTCTTCATCAGACAATGGAGGCTGCAGTCAGACCTGTGTGCTTCTGAGTCCTGTGACGTGGGAGTGTGAATGTTTGCCCGGCTATCAACTGGAACCAGATGGAAAACACTGTGCTGCTTTAGGCAAGTCTTTCTGATTGTGTTCTGCACCAGTGTCTCAAGAGAACCACAGCCAAAACCATGAGTTGCAGAACCTTGCAAAAGTATTCAGACCCTTGAACAGTTTTCACAATTAAAAGCTACTTTTAAGTTTGTAGTCAAGGCGCATTGAAGTAGCAATTACTGTTCATTAACATAGACCATCTACTCCACATATTCAAAGTAAAAAACAAAAAGAAAAAAAGTAATAGATAATACAGTAACAAACTGGATTATATACCCTTTGGTGTGGCAGATCAAAACCAATTTAGGTGCTCTACATTACCTTAACATGTCACATAATTAGTTGAGAGGCCTCTGTCTGTGTGCAGACAGCACATCATTTCACATTAAAGGCATCATTCTCTGCAAAAATATTTTTTTAAGTATCCAACCATGAAGATGAAGGAGCTATTAAAACAACTTGGATAAAATGTGTAGAAAAGCAGATTATTAGGAGGGTAAAAAAATAAAGAAACATGAAAACACTGATTATTTCTTTGAGCATGTGAAGTTGATCATTAAGAAAGGGAATGTGTATCATGCCACCGAGATACTGCTTAGATCTAGCTGTTCCTCCTAACTACTGTAATCAGCTGGACAAGGTGAAAACTGGTGAGGTCAATTGTGTATTTGGAAGAATGAGATTTCAGTAGCTGATATAGTAGAAAATGTCCACGAGACAACAAAATCCCAGTTACTCCAAAAAACTGGACTGTATGGCAGAATAAAAAATCCATCTCAAATCCTGCATGAAGTTTGCAACAAAGTTTTTTTTTTTAAATTGATACTTGAAAAATGTGGCTGAAGGTTTTCTGGTCAGAGAAGACAAAATTTAACTTTTTTTGGTTTAAAAGCAACTCAGCATAATACATCACTCACTAAGTCACCCCTCTACACTCATGTGTGGTTGTGGCAGCATTAGTTCCCCTCATGAGCAGAGACCAGGAAGTCTTGTCAAGACTGATGGGAACATGGTGCACCAAAGTACTGGCAAATCGTAGAGTAAAACCTGATTAAAACCTAAAATCCTCAAAAAAATTAGCCTATCAGTAGTAGAAGGGCCCAAAGTTGATGACCAAAGCTATACTGGAGTGGCTAAGTGAATAAGAAAATGAATCGTCTTGAGTGCCCAGTCAATGTTCTGAGTCCTGTTCAGAGTCTGTAGAAAGACATGTAACTCATTGTCTGTAACAGATCCCCAAGCAACTTGACAGAGCTTGAGCAAATCTGACAAGCAGAATGGGCATAAACTGCACCAAGCTAGTATGCAAAGTGGTAGAGACTTTTGGCTGTAATTGTTGCCAGTAGTGTTTCCACCAAACATTGTTCAATGGTCTGAATAATTACTGAATGCAATCAACATGTTTCATTTTTTCTCTTTAGTTTTTTGTCTTTGCTTGCAATGTGTATGCACTTTCAGAAACGAAGGCAACAAAAACAGGAAATGCTGGTATACAGGAAGCATTTATAATCTTTTTCAAGTTTGAGAAACTGTAACCACATTACAAATTTATGTGGGCATGTTTTCAAAAAGTATGCCATGAATGAATATAAGAGAGAATGACTAAAAAGCTTTAATTTTGCAAAGTTTATTTGTCTTTTCAAGTTTGCGAACAGTATGCAAAACTTCAGACATGATGTTAAAGAGGAAACAAAATTCATTTTTTTTTCTCCTTTTTACCAATCAAAACATTTTTTTCTTCAACAAGTGTAAACTGCAGAGATAAATCTTGATTTTATCAGTGTCAAATTGAATTAGTTTTTTTTTACTTCATGAGACTTACAGTATGAATAGGTCAAATTCATTTTGGAGTGGTTGTCTTTAGCATGAATTGCTAAGTGGAGAGTGCAGACTTTGCTTGTCCACCAGTCTCAAAGTACTGAAGACCTTTGCCATCTGCTTCTACTGGAAATGTTTGCATTTTCTTTCTGTAAATGGAGAAGCATGTTTTGCTCTGGATTGTAAACTTTGAAAGTTATACTGATTCTGAACAGTAAAAAGACAAAATGTTTATACATGCTATATTTGATCTTTATTATATCAACAATGAAAATTCATTATTTTACAAAACACTGTTACCTTTTTAATCTTGAGTTTTGGAGGTAGCCTCCATTTCCTTTTTCTTTCTACTCACACTTGCCAGAAATGTGAACTACTGAAAGCTCAACCCACTTCCTTATTTCAGTCCAGTTTTGAAATCTCAGTTGCCAAGACCAACTCAAACACAAAATTGAATATTTTGCGCACCGAACGTCTTGGGAATTTTAATTGTGGCTATGCACAGTTCACTGCCATGGATCATATACCAGACATAGAGTAGAAGAAATTGTATATCAGATCATATAAAGCAACGAGTTCCCAAAGTTTATGATTACCATTGAACACTGATGGGTGTGTAGATTTAATCATTTCATTGGAACATTCTTGCAAAATCACATAGACTCTATTAACCTTTTTATTTATTTAGTTTCAGTTTTATTTGGGGAACATGTATCTGAACATTTTGTGAATGTATTGCACATATTTTACATTTGAGTTACATAAAGAATGATCTTGTGGAATGAAATAATATGGTTGTTGTAGTTCTGAAAATCATTTTTCTTTTTATTTAGAGTCTCACTTTTAATGTGTTTATGAAGGAATACAATTTTTTTTGTGTGCATCCAGGACCTATGTCTTATTTGCTGTTAGCAAACACCATTGGTATTCAACGGATCAGCATTGATGGAACAAGTTACAATAGTCTGGTGGAGGAGCATATGGAAAGTATCTTAGCTTTGGACTATGACCCAGTTGAAAAAAAGGTACTGTAATTCCATTAGGCCTTTAGTTAACAATGCTTTGAGAATACTGGTATTTACTGTATTTCATGGATTATCATAATTTCAATTGGCCTACTAAAAAAAGGCAAAACAAGGTTACATTTGATGATACAGGAATGTGAATGAACACATTTGAACTCACAGTCACAACTGATATTCTTCCTTCATAAACCTCAAAATGAATAAGAGAATCTGAACAAGTTACATTGTTTTTTTTCCTTACCAGAATGATACAGAAAATATTTGTTTTTACATTTTCACACTTTAACTAATAGGTGAATATATTATCCATATAATGTTAATGAGTAAACAGCAACACAGTGTAATATCTGTTGCACAAATACAGTTTTTTCAATCGGTACTAACTGGAGAGATACAAACAGATTCACAGCATGAAAGATGAGAAGGTAAAGACACTTTAAACTAGCTTACAAATTAGGTTACATCTAAATTAAGGGTGTGAACTCCAATTAGCTCCTCAACCATCCTGACACTGCCTGTGAGTAACCTTATTACTTGGCCTGTCTCTGCTCTTATATACTGTTCCAGACCCCTTTAGGAATCCTAACTCATTCATGTTGGTCACCTCCTGGGAAAGAATGCAGAGATCCTTGGCTGGTCTTCCCAGGTCTAGCCTCAAACACAGTTCATGGCTCATTACACTCAGATCACATTATCTTTACATGAGGCCCCGCAGTATTCAATTTCATTCCCAAATAACACCATGGTGCTGGGTTATCTCTCCATCTGCATTAACTACCATTGGAGAATCCACATATATTATACTGTATGGCACCCAGATTCTCTCTAACTTATTACTAATCTTTGCTCTCTCGGTCTTAGTCATCTCTCTCTAAAATTCATTCATGTTCTTATTCTTAACTAATTACCAGCCATAAAGGTTTCACTCTTACCCCTTTGCCCAGCTCTTTCTGATTCCACTAATTACTGGACTTTGGAGTATTCACTCCTAAAACATAAACACTCCTTCCTTCGTCACCCACGCTGCTCCCATCTGATCTTGTTTAACCAGGGATGTATCATTATAACAAAAACATTCATTTGAAAAAAATCTTTCTTAAGCTTTTTTAAAACAAAGATTGACGCTGCCAATGATCTTGATGCAAAAGGTTGGAAACAGGGCTGTTTGCTCCTGCAGAAGTAATCACAAAGTTTCTTCTGTAGAACATTTATGTTTCTCTAGTTCATTTGGTATTCATTCTTTTTCTTCAGTTTTCTTTTAAACTTTTATACTGAGTTTTAAATGTGTACGTCCTTTTGAGTACAGACATTTGAAAATAGGAGTTGATTGCCATACTGGTTGGGCGTTTAGTGGATGGAGATGGGGATTAGGATTTCTCTACTCAATGTATTATTGATGGATGTTATTTTTGTACACTGTTCGCAAAATGAAGCAGGCAACGCATTTTACCAAACCTTTACTTGTTATTGCTGTCTGGTTGTGTTCCAGGTCTATTTCACCAACACAGCCCTAAAGAGGATAGAGAGAGCAAACCTGGATGGCAGAGAAAGAGAGGTTCTGGTTCACAAGGATGTAGATTTACCCGAAGGGCTTGCAGTGGACTGGATTAACCGCAAGTTGTACTGGACTGACCGCAGGTAAGTCTTCATTGGCAGAGACATACAAGCTTTAATTAGAGGTGCAAAGTCGATTAACTGTAGCATTTTTTTTTTTACTTACACATGATAGTCAATGACACATTTTGCTTCTTCTAGTGTCACTTACCTTGTGAGAACTGGCCACGGAAAAATTAAAATTGGCCTGAATATTAACAATGACCAACATGTGACTCTGCAACACCAGCACCATAATTTGCATTTTAGAGCAGCATATAAAAAGTCAAACAATGCTGGAAACAGGAATTCAGTTTTTTAAGATGTGAGATTTTCAAATAAGCATGTCGTGAAAAAAATATTTAAAAGTATCTGTCTACATGGTTTAAATATCTAAATATATCTATAAGAGATATAATGTATATATATATACATAAATATATTAAAAAATAATTACACAAAGGAACAGGTTGCTCAGCCTTGTATAATGTATTGCATCATAGTTCACAAGTCTTCATCTCTCCAGGTCTTTTTAAAAATGACCTCACAGCCTCAAAGAAACATTTCTATCTTCTTCAGATTTTGTTTGGAGCACTCAGCTCTGTGAGCAGAGAAATTTGCAAAGTGTCTGATCCAAAGCAAAATATTTAACCTGCAATATATGTTCTGCAAAAGGTTAATAGTTGCAAATGTAGCACGATACAAACCAGAAAAGGAAAACAAAACATTACTGCCTTTTGTCTTTGAAACACAGTCTTGAAAAATGACCACATGTTTATGTTGAAAAGATTTAAATTTAAATTTGAAGTTTAAATTTGAGAGCTAGTATCCAAATTGCTTACATTTTTTGGAACACAGTTGCTTCGCAGGTCAGAATAGAAGGCCAGGAGACAAATGTCATTGCAAATCTTCCCTGGAATGTTATTTGGTTCACTTTTTCCACAGGACTACCAGCTACTTTCCATAGACTCTAAAGTGATATCCATCTGAGCACAACTCTTCTTCTCAACAAAAGTCTAAATGATTTTAAATTGAAATTGCTGAAAAATGATTAACAAAATATAATCGGCCCACGTTCTTTATATATAGAATTTTCTAATACATAACTTTCCACTATGGATAAACTATCTTTCCAAATTCAGTTTCCATTTGGTAGTTTGCTTAGAGTGAGAAACTCCGAATGAGATACATTAGCTAGTATTGTGGTGACCATGCTTTCTGAACTATTTGAGGAAGTGAAAGAGCTTTGAGAAGCCACTTTTAAAGGCAGTATAGAAAAAACGTTATTTTTTTATAGGTGCTTATTATTACTGCATTATTGCAACACTGCATGGTAATTATGCAGATAATCTTATCAATTCTATAAACAATATAAAATACCTGCTTCTATATAATTTATAAATAATATACAGTAAAATCCCCAATTCTTCATGTGGATTTCAGTAAGTCTTAATTGTACTACTAGAATTATTTTGATGCAGGAAATAAAAATAAATTCTGACACTTAAAGATACTTGCCTGATGTGTACCTGGTTTTGTATTTTGGTATTTTGTTACACATTTTGATCAACACTAATTACCCCTAGATTATTTGTGTTTCTTACTAAACTGAGAATGTAATTAACATCACCAGACACTGCTTAAAACTATCCAGAAAATTGAATTTTAAAAAATCTTTTTAACTTCATCTTATCATTTTTGTTAGAAATCAGTTATAGAGTAAAGCATTAAATGATGTCAGTTGTATTTGTAGCACAGGTTTGTTATTGGTATCAATGCTGAAGAGGGAATGTCATTTTAATAATGCCTTGCTAGGGATTAAAAACGTAAATCTCTTTTGTCCAAGTGTATCCAAAAAAGCTTGCTAGGAGCTTATTATATTATTTACTGTATTGATATTTCTGTACTACATTCTAAATAAAGAATAGGGAATATTGTATTGAAGGTATGCATCATATTACATCTGGAATTATATCTGGACTATGTGAAGGTCACATATGTCCAAATTTGTTCAATTGTACAATCTTAAGAGGATGTCCTTTTCACCACACTGTATATTGTATAGTTTACATCTCAATAAAAAGAAAGACAGGAGTAAAATATCTTAAATCACCTCACAATAATAAAACAGTGAGCTCCCAAATGCTTGAACAACCAAGTACAACTACAGTCTATGTCAAACACTAAAAAACAAAGATCTATACAGTATATAGCCTAGCTGAGCTGAAAGTTTGCAATTTTAGTTTCCCCCATTTATTATGACATGAGTAATGTTGTCTGGTGTTGTTTTAGCTTTATTTCACTTGATATTGGTGAAGACACCACAATCTTCAGAGACTGCATAATGAGGTGTTCCTATTAAAACTGCCCATAGTTGAAGCCATCCTTTAACTGCAAGGTGCTAGACTGAGTGCTAAATCCTTTTTTCACCTGGTGGAGGACCTGCTTCATGAACTGACCTTTGACACTGCTTTGGGAGGAGAAATTTAGTACAGTATATGGTTTCACCTGCTATTGTTTTGTGTTCCATTAAAAACATTCAATATAAAACATGCCTAGATCCACATAATGCATTTATTTTTCTGGTCACCTGACTTTGTCTGTGCTCCTACTTACTATACTTCCCCGAAATTAAATGCTACTTAACAAATGGGTGCTGACCATTGAGAATACTGATTAAGCTGTTTCTTGTCAAGTCTAGAAAAATCTAACCATAATGAATGAGTCAATTATTTGGTTATGCTTCATTCACAGAGTTGTTAACACCACCTCTTTGTATCCTTAGGTTGTCGAGTATTGAGCGAAGTGATTTGAGTGGATTAAACAGGGAAATGGTCATCAGAGAGGATATTCACAAGCCAAGGGCAATAACTCTGCATTCAGTGGCAAAGTAAGGTGTTGTACAGCGCTCTCTGGCATCTCCCTGACAGAATACTGTCCACCCTTGAGTGAGTTGTCACTCAAACAAACAAAGAAACAATACATCCAATTTCCAACAAACGCTTGAAAATCCCACAGAATGGTTTCCAAATAGAAAACAAATAGAAAAAAAATTAATAAGAAGAGCAGAAAGCAAAAGGCTGAAGCTTATAGTATAAAACAGCCTTTTATCTCAGATTTTCCTGTCAGCCCTGTTTAACGGTAATGCTCTTCTCAGTTCATGTAGGGTTTAAGAAGGATTATTGAAGTCAAGCAAGCTGCTCTGCTCCTGTCCTCCCTACACCAGTTCCACCTCGTGGATGAAAATAACATTGCTGCGGCCTACACACGTTCTCATCAGAGCATCTGTTAGTCCAATCTGACATATTCAGTAATGAAAAGGGTTCTTAGTCAGGATTTTCAGATGCTCGCGTGGTAGGGAAAGTGTTTGATGCAATGTGGGAAAGCAGAACAGAACTGCAGTGACCTCTGCAGGTCCTACTAATGGCATCCATATGCTGTGAATCCAGTTTATTTAGCTGACATTCAGTAACATAGTCACTATAAAGGTTGTCGTTATCATGGATGGGTGGCTAAGTGGCACAGTGGTTGTTAAGCTAAAAGTAGCTGATGGTAAGGGATGAACCCTATGCATATACAGGGAAATATGGAAATCCAAGGCCGTAGTCCAAACAAACAAGTCAAAATGCCAAAAGATCTTGAAGCAATAACTATCCAAAGGAGAATCCAGAATTCGTGGTCAAAAAGCAAGGCAAAAAATCCAAGGGCAAAAAGAGAAGCAGAGAATATCTTAGAGAAACGGAAAGTGTAGCTCTCAGGGAATAAACCTAATACTGAGCAAGGTTGAAACAGGGAGCAGGGTTTAAGTAGGCTAAAGGGGAGGCGTGGTGATGGGTTAACGAGGTCTAACCTACGTCTCCCCAGAGTGGATGAGGTACATTCTATCTGTTTGGGTGCCCTCTGGTTGCAGGATGCTGGTACTGTAACAGTGGTTAGCATTGCCACCTTGCAGTACTGGGTCAAATCCGACCTGTGGTGCTCTCTGTGTGGAGTTTGTATGTTCTCTGGGTGATCCAGTTTCCTTCCACATTCCAAAAACACACCGGAAGGTTAATTAGCCACATTTGATTTAATTGTGGGTGATTTTATTTAATTTTTAATAATAATCAGTTTTATATGTCTCTGCTGTCCAGGCTAGGATTTTCGGTGTTTATTGATGTGTTTTGTTTGTTTGCTTTTGAGGAAGTTGTTCTGGACAGATGTGGGTGAGAGACCATCTCTGGAGAGTGCTTCTTTGGAAGGTGGTGACCGAGTCATTATTGCCAACACAAGCCTAGTCTATCCCAGTGGGCTGACCATAGATTATGTGGAGGATAAGCTGTACTGGTGTGACAGCAAGCGATCAGTTATTGAAGTAGCAGATCTGGATGGCTCCAACCGCCGGATTTTGACACACAATGAAGTAGGTGAGGCTTCTGGCAGTGATACTAATTATTCTAACGTTATTCTAACTAAAGTTATTCTAACTGAAAATCACAGTAAACCATCAGTGTGGGAGTTGCATAACTTTGAACCTGTAAAATGAACATTCTGTTGGCTAATCCCCAACTGTCTTAATATGTTAAGTTCATTCTGAAAAGGCAAACAGTAATGCCTTGTGTTACCCAACAACATCTTTGTTACCCAACAGATCTGGCAGATGCGGAGAACAAGGAATAATAATAATAATAATAATAATAATAATAATAATAATAATAATAATAATAATACAAATAAAGATACTGCCATACCTAGAACTACATTTACAAAATCACCCAGCTTTTCTACACACACAAAGAATGTGGCAATATTAGAAGCACCTGGGGAAGTAACTGACTCATAATATTATATCAAATTAAATATCTTCAGTTGACAATCAAGAGTTCTGCTGAAGCTTTCAAGTCCTCAAGGTAGATTTGGAACAACAAATCACACATTAAAAACTCTGTAACTTTTGCTGTCGAAACTGGAAAAAATACTGGCTATACCATAGTGAAAGTAACATGTGGCAGTGAAGTGCTTTTATTTTGGGTACTTGGGTAGTTGATCTGGCTTTTTAAAATATATCTCTTTATTGTTTTCCATTATAACATTTAGCACGGATTTTACGAGACTCAAACTTAAGAGTTTTGGAGGTGAATTTGTATATTTGTATACAAAAAGAGTACTGTATATTTTGAGCAAAGAGTCGCTTGTCTGTGTGTAGTTTCTTCATTGAAACAGGGCAGAGGAAACTACATTTCCAGGTAGCCAAAGGTATTAGAGAGCTTCCTGAAGCTCAGTTAGCTTGCTTCTATAGTGCACGGGGAGGACAGATTAAGCTTGAAGCACAGAAAAGTTCATCCCAAGAGTCAGCAAGTTTTTTTAGGTCTGACTTCAGTTATATCTATGGCTATAATAAACAATTATTAGAACTAAAATGAAGCACCACCTACAGTATATAGAAATAACATCCTAGAAAGAAGTCAAGATGGATTAAGGTATTGCTTAACCAACTTATAGTTCTATGAATAAAGAACAGTCAAGACACACCGAACATATGACATGCTTTATCTAGATTTTTCTAGATTTCAAGATTTTATCTAGAAGGTCTGTGATAAAATTAATTGTCACATTACTGGGATTTACCCAGGGAATGAAATAATTTGTATTGAGAATCATTTAATAAATAAAAAACACATAGTACAGATAAGGGTACTGTACTACAACCACTTCTGTTTCTATTTTACTATATATCAGATATACAGTAAATTGTGGTAAAGATATCAAACTAGTTAAGTTTGTGGAAAATACCAAATTGGGAGAATTACTGAACATAGTAGAATTCAACAAATGAAATTCAAAACATTTTGATAAAATTAAAGTCTGAACAAAGACCTGGTGGATGTTTAATGTAGACTAAGGCATGATTTTGCATGGATGCCGGAAAATATGAACTACTGTGTACTGTATATACAAAATACACTAAGCTATAAAAGCATACTTAAATTTTTCTGACAATAAAAGCAATAACATTTCTTAAAGTGGGAAAGCAATAAAAATACAAACAAGGCTAGGCTATACAGTATAGTCAATCGTGTATAATTAAAATTAAGGGATGTTATGTTAAAATTGAGGGGTACTCTGGTTAGGCCTCATTTAGAATAATGTGTACAATTTTGGTTACCAAATTCTTCTTTGGAATCAGCCCAGAAAAGAGCAACATCATGCATTACAGGACTTTGACAAACATTATACACAGACAAGATGAACAAACTGAACCTTTTTCAGTCTTGAATAAAGAATACTGCAATGAACCTGGATACAAGTTTTCAATGTCGCTAAAGGTTTTGTCTAAGCAGTGGACTTCTTCAGAATATACTATGAAACACAAACCAGAAGACACAAGTGAAAACTATGGGGAAACATGTTTAAATCTGAGAACAGAAGGCATATCTTTAACCAAGGGTTTATAAGAGTATGGAACAAGCTACTCAGCCATGTGGTAGAAGCCAGTACCTTGGCTTGCTTCAGGATATTGCTGAATAAGATCCTTGGATCAATAAACTACCACAATACGTACAAATAGGCCAGATGTGGCAAATGACCTCCTTCCGTTTTAACCTTTCTTGTAAGTTTGTATACATTGCCAATAAAGCAACACATTAATAAGAGGCTTATCTGGACACAGGTGCGGAGGGGATGATTTAACCTATTGAAGATCAAACCTGGTGTAAATCCAGAAAATGTCATAAATGATCCAAAATGCCATTCTGGTAGATTAAATCAGCAGTGGAGCCATGTTCTCAGTTATGGTTTTGTGTAGGCCGCCCAGAATAACACATATACTGTATGCCACTGCCTTTGCTGATATTATTGTGGCCACATACTGTAATTCACTGAATTGTTATTTTTTTCATGTGTCCAACTTATCGTATATCATTTTTACTTAAATAAGACAAATATCTATAATATTCTGCCTTTTTTAGGCCATCCCTTTGATGTTGCTGTATTTGAAGATTACGTCTGGTTCACTGATTGGGCCACATCTTCTGTCGTGAGAGTAGATAAGAGGAGTGGGCAAAATCGAGTGCGTCTCCATGGCAACATGGAGAGGCCCTCTGCCGTGGTCATTGTTCATCCATTAGCCAAACCTGGTATGATAAACTCTTCCTCGTGCCTAGAGCATTCACTGCTTTGAAACAGAAATAGATTACATCCATAGTTAATGAAGAAAAGTAAAAGGCAATAAATTACTTATTGACATTTACAGTAGCCATATCAAAATGTAACTGTCAAGATATGTAACATCAATAATTCCTGTTGCAGTCACTTAAAATTTTACCATGGTTTAGGTTTAACCTAATGCAGAATAAGAGAAATGTCCTTAGAGACAGTCAGAGGCCACTGGACCTGCTTTATGTATCTGAGAGAGTAGCAGTCATGACTCATGTATTCCTCTTCTAACGAAAAGGCTCTTTCTGTTGATCATGAAAATAGTATTTTTAAGACTGATAAATGAGCATATTTTCCCATTTCTCCTAAAATGCGCCCATTAAAGCAAATTTGTTCTTATTCCAGGGGCCAATCCCTGCCTTTATAAAAATGGTGGGTGCAGTCAGTTGTGTGAGAACAAGTTTGGAGTGGCTCACTGCTCATGTGATAAACACTTTATCGAAACTGCTAGTGGAAGAGCTTGCAGACCAGTTGATGCAACCATGACAACACCAGGTAAGTAACATAGGCCTATAGTGTGTAATAACTTAATTTATTTTTCTCCTGAGAGAATCATTATACCATAGGAAATCTGTAGTGATTATAATGTTGTCAGAAAACACAGAAAGCTTCAGGGAAAACGATGGTTTATACGGTACAGAGTCGCAGGTGTAGCCAAAGGCTATCCTGGCACAAGGCAGGGTACACCCTGGACAGGATGCCATTCCATCACAGGGCTTACAAAGACAGACATACTGTATACACAATCACATTCATACCAGGGCCAATTAACCTACTAGTACTGTATGTATGACTATGACACAGATACTTAAGCACCCCAGGAAGAGGAACTAAACCCGACCCCGGCCCAAGAAGGCAATGATGCTAACCAATGTGCTACTGAGTCACCAAAACATATTTACTATAATCTCCATCTAAATATGCTTCATTAACTAAATGTTTCTAAAACCTTATGAATTGTCAAAATCCACACATAGTCTATAACATTCCTTATGAACAACTTTGTGTCCCAGTGCTAGGAAACAGTCCTTGAGATAACTTCAAAAATGCTGTCAGCGTGGAATATCATACTGAATAATGTAACAAACAGATATGTCTCTCCATTAGATACGTCATTCTTGAAGTAATCTATGCTACACCATTATGACAACAGAGTCCGCTAGCTTCTAGGCATACTGTATATTGCCAGATCTCAGATGTTGGCTGGGACTGGCTCTGATCAAGGTTCAGATGGGAGACTTCTAAGGAAGCTGCTGTAAATTGAGTTTTGTGGACCAGTAGGTGGTCCTCCACTCTTCTGCCTGGAACAGAATTTCCAAAACCAACATGCCTGTATTTTGACCAGGGACACTATACTGTTAGAGGTGGTGTTAATCTGGACATAAAGTATTGGCTAAATTCAGTTCTGGCCTTCAATTTGGTGGAGATATTAAAAAGATATTAAAATGAGGTTCTGATGCCTTGGTCATTAGACAATTTACATTACTGTCCAAACGTGTATGGTCTCAAAGTCCTGTCTTGATTACACTTTGGACTTGCAAGGAATTACACTGGCATATTTAACATTTTCCCTTAATTCAACTAGTGAAGCTATTGTTCACTTTTCCATCCCATTTACTGTGTAGTGGGACACAATGGCTGTCATACATCACACAGGTGGGTCCTGCACTTCAGTGCTAATTGACATGTTTCCTCCTTAATGTAAAGGGATTTTGGATCCCTTAGGATTAAAAAATGTCATAGTTATTAAATGTAATTAATTAAGATTGAGTGAGGCCCAGGAAATATTTATCATTTGCTCTATAATAAATGGCACATTAGTAATTGGCTTTGCTCCTCTGGTGCTTTGGTCTGCCCACATTCCCTGTGGTTTGCTAGTTATTTATCAATGGGTTTATCAGTGAGATCTATGTGCACTAACTGAAGTGTATTATTCAACATTGCACACGTTAAAGAAACAAATTGTCTAGATGATCTGTTATTAACAACATATAATTTTCTGAATTAACAAAACGTTAAGAATAATAATCAGGGATAATCTATAAACACACAATTTTTACCATTCCAAAAACTGTTAAATACTACAAGATCATTGGTGAATGTGTTCATGCATCTGTGTAACCAGAACACAGGCACATTTTTGGACTTAGACACACAGCTCATTGCTTGGCTTGAACAAGGATGAAACCACATAAAACTAACCTTAAAATGTGTTGGTTCAAAGCTGTAACCTCTTGAGAACATAAACTGTAGTGATGCATGCAGTAACTTCTTTCTCTGACAGCTGGTTACTTAAATAAAGCAAGGGTGTCAGAGTAAATTGGCAAGACTGAGTTTGCAGTTATGGGAAAAACTTGGAAGAGGCATGAGACAAGCTGTCTAGTAAGGTGAATCAACTGCAAATTTTAAAATGGCAACACCACGGAGCCTTAATACCTCCTAAAATGTTTTGGAAGGTTCTGGCCCAATTTGAAGTCATGTACCATGTATTACATGGTAAATATGAAGTATGTCCAGGCACATATGTCCTGTCACATTGACAGTGAGTTTTTTACATATCTGTGAATAGATGCTAAATAACAGAAAAAATATTTCTTGTCTTTTCTCGAAGGGTTTTGAAAAAGGCGTGATGCATTGCTATTTCTGACTGATAAATGATCCAGCATTTATGGAATTTTTCTGATGGTTTCTCTGCAGCATCTGGAGATACACCTTCTCGTAGCCTGTTTTCCTTAAACAATAAAACATTAAGAGATGACAGCTTTCCCCTGTCCATCTCTAGTCCATCTTCTTCAGCTGGAGAGGCAGATGTTGAAGAAGAACAGACAGAAGACACACTGGTCACAGAGAAAATGGTGTCAGGTACAGTATTACATTTATTGTAGAAAGAAAGAAAATCATTATTTTCAATTAATATTTCTTGCCAAGAAACCATCAATTTAAGGAAACTTCATAGAAGCAGATGATTACTGTATACTGCAGAGTACTGTCCCAATACATCCATCCAGAACATCCATCCAACACAGTACGATGTACTGTGAGGTGCTGAGTGTTGTGAGAAATCAGTCTGTATCTAATGTGCAACTAAGAAACACTTTAAGTTAATTTGAACAATACACAAAAATATCAGGAATCTGGAAATGTTAATCATATTCAATGTTTCATACTTATACAGTATATGTTAAAATGTAAATCATATGCTTGAACTTCTAGTGGTCTGAAGGAAAAAGTGTTCGATTCTACAGAGTGGACCCAAATTCAAGTACAAGAGCCTTATTCATAAGGAATGGATGCTCATAAGAACAGTTACAAATGAGAGGCAACAATCTGGTCCATCTAGCCCTTTTTGTTAGTAGCTAACAAAGGATCTCATCCTGCTGTTTCTTGAACGAATCCACAGTATTGGCTTCAACAACTTCTCAATAAAAAAAAAATCTCCCACAACTCTGGTTTAAAAAATGGCACCTGTTCTCTGTCTTAAATGCACTTCTATGTAATTTTCCATTGTCTTCTGGTTTATGTTTCACTGTTGGTTCAGAAGAAGTCAGTTGTGTTGACGAAAAACGTAGTTTTCAGTCATACGGGAAACTGCTAATACACAATTTACATGTACTGTAGTGCTTTCCAACCCTGGCCTTGGAAGAACACTGTGTCCACTGGCTTGTATTCCAAATGAGCTCCAAGCCTCTGGTCCAAATGGATGACTTCATTGATTTTTTTGCTTATTTATCAACTGAAAGTCTACTGTTTCCAGCAAAACTTTACGTGCTCAACTTACTTGCCGTTACTTGTGACTAGACAGCTCTTAGTGGTTGATAGAGGTGGGTATGACACTGCGTTAGCCACTCCTACAATTAGTGTTTTTTTTTGTTAGACAATTGATTACAATTCAGGCAGTACACCTTAATGAAGGTAATCTGAAATTAAAAAAAAAATCAACAGGGGTGAAAATAAATGACGAATCCCATTTGACTTTTTCAGTAGAAAACTTAATCAATTACCCTGTGATTAAGAATAGTGTCCCTCCAAGACCGGGTTTGAGAACCACTGACTATTTCTCACAGTGCTACATGCTGGTTAAGATGACAACTAATCAATGTGTTCTGTGGTAGAACAGATTTTTTTACTGGGGAATTGTTTCTGTCATTGAATCATCTTTGTTTTAGCTTTTTTTTTAAACTTTGATGTGTTTCTGCCTTAGGCTGGAAGGAATAATTGTTAGGTAAGACCCGGTGAGCTTTTAAATCCATTGACTCACAGAGGCAGATACAGCCTGATCACTGTAGGTATAGACCCTGCAACTGAAGGTCCTGATTGCTGCAAGTGTGTGTGGCATTATTTGGCCTTGTTTGGGTTGGAGTTTATTTGTTGTGAAGACACATGATAAAAATGAAAAAGGAAAATACCCAAGTTTAATACGACACACCACTAACTCACATTTTACACGGTCACATTCTCAATACAATGACAGGTCTTTCCTAATTTCCCTATTAACTGGTGCAAATACAAGTTTCCTAGGTAGGAAATGTTTGCTGATATTTCAGAAAGCTCCAGAAAGGGACCATTTCAATTGATTCTCTTGTCATATTTGTTTTTTGAAAAAAAAAAAACATTTCTCTGCAAAGAAAAATACAATAGCATTGCACATGATTCAAAGAAAAGGACCTTTTCTGCAATCAATGTAAAACATTGATTAATCAGTACATTTTCTTTGTTAAAGGAAATATATTCATTACATCTTGCTGAAATCTATTTAAACAATGGGTATTAATGCATACAACAACTGAATAAAATGTGGATTTACAAAAACTAATATGAATCTGGTCCATGGTATATTTAGTTTAATTCCCTTGATGGTGACCTGAAACATACTGTATCACATCAGTTTGGATAATTGTTTATTTTAGCATGTCTTTGGGCTGTTGGAGGAAATCAGAGGACGCACAGAAAAAACACAAGGCGAACATACAAACTCCACACGCATAGCACCCCAGGGCTACAGCACTGTGAGGCCGCAATGCTAATCACTGCACCACTCACATACTGCACATGTACAGTATATCTTTATTAATGAATTATATCTCCTATATATTATTCTATAATAAATTATTATTATATTTTATACCCCTTTATATAAGGAATAGAAAATACTACTAGATACAAATGTTCTTTTGGTTACAGACCAAGATGACTGCTCTTCCCTGCGGTGTGACTTCAATGCAAGATGTCTTCCACATGAAGGCAGTGCAGCCTGTCAGTGTGTTGATGGCTTTACAGGAGATGGTGAAAATTGCAGAGGTAAACAATGGGCTTTTCAGGAAGACATTTGTACTGTGGGCATATTTTTATAGCAAAAGGTCAGAGAATGTCCTATGACGGAATACTTCCAAGAACAGGGAGGTATTGGTTCGTTTTCAATATGAGATTATTAAAACCAAGATTTATAGTGTATTTGTATTTCTTTAAGATATCTCCTGTTTTTCCAGTTTGAAATAAGCTCTTCCTCAGTTTGAAATTAGTTTTTCTAACATGCTATTGAAAAGCATAAAACCATCTTTAGTGGAGAAAAAAATCAACTTTTCCACAATTATAAAAAGTTAAATGTTTACAGTCAATGTCAGATAAAAATATGTTTATTTTGAGATTATGGTCTATTTATATATATTTTTATTTTGATGACTTTTTTCTTGATGATACATTTAGCTGTACATTAATAAATGATTGTTTGATGGGCGAGTTAAAAAAGTACAGTACAGGTCTTTCAGTCATACAGAAAGTACTGGAATGAGACGACAGATATTTGGAATAATAGATGTGAGATGGACAGATGTGAAAATGCACCAGGCTGTGTTGTAGAACTATCCAGAACTTGACTGTGTTCAACCGTAGGAATTGAAACAAAAAAGGTTTACGACTTTGAGACTGCATAGGATAGGTTCTGGCTTCCCTGTGGCCCAGTATTGGATAAAGCAGATAGAAAATGATTGGATGGATGGAAGTTACACATCTTTGCAATAACTGATATTGGTGCTTACTGAAAGTGTGTTGTAATCCTAAAGAACTAATTAGTGGTTACCACCTCACTACATCTCAGATGCTTAAGGTGTCAGTGTCAGTAATAAAATGGAAAACCAGGTTTCAGTTGTATGTGGTGTTGGTGAACAAAGTGAGGCTCTTTACTTTGCGTATGAATTTCACAATTTTGATCCCAAGGTATCCTGTGGTATAGAGATGTTTTTGTTTGGATCAAACTAAGAATTATTGTTAAACTTAATCTTAAAGATACAATATTCTCAGGGTTTTCTACTACTAATTATTACTACTAATTAATCACTACTACTGTAATTTTATTGGAGCAGCACTTTCTTAATTCTCCACCTGAACTGCTGTGTAGTAAGTCACCTGGTGCATAATGGATAACGTGAGTCCCTCAGAAGATTGCTGCACTTCAGTGGTGGATAAAGAGAGAGGAGTGCCTCTCTTAAATCTAAAGTGCCTTGGGTTCCTCTGGGAGGAAAATAGTTTTATTAATGCAGTTGATTAATTGTCTGTTCACTATCCCTGCAATCACTCAAACCAAATGAAAGGCTTTATTATTGTTTCTTTCCAGGGAATGTAATTAATTTCCAGGGTGGGATTTGGAAACAGTACTCAATTGTGAGGATGTATTTTTTAAAATTAAAATATTAATGTAATTCCAGTTAAGAACAAGAGAGATCACCCTGTCTTAAAGTCTAATGGTAATTGCACTATGCACATTGCACCTTATGTACCCTGTACCCTGTCAGAAATGTCTATGTCTACATTGTCAGTGTCTTGTCTGTATTCGCACCATAGTCCTGGAGAACGATATCTCGCTTCTCTGGATACTTGTATATGGCTGGAATGACAAATAAACTTGAACTTGAACTCGGTAAACAAGGCCTCTTATTGGTTTTATTACTTCAAGAGCAAAACTGAAGAGGTCTGATTGCTTCAGTTCTCAAAATAAGGTACAACCCTGCTTATACAGTATATGCTGCATCCAACAGCTGTTGATCATAGCATATGAAATTCATATTTTTCCACTCATTCAAAGGAATGAGGAAAACAAATGAGGAAACAAATGCCCATACTGGTTATATTCTCCAATGTGTATCTGGATGAGTAAGAAAGAAACTGTTCTGAAAAACCCAAAATGTGACATGTAAGAAAGCCATAATGTCATCACAAATCAGAGCCACCTCTCCAATTACCGTGGCTCATACTGTACGTGCTATCTCAACACAATGATTTGATACCTTATCGACCAATCTCTCTGTTCCTCAGAGACAAATGTCTGTCAGGCTTAGTGGGTCTCTCAGATGACTGAGAAGCCTGATGTCTAAGGCAGAAGCAATGGGACAGCGTATTTTTGGAGTACCTTCTGCCTCTTCCCATTTGTGATGAGGATTGGTTGTTCTGATGAGGATTGTTGAGTCCTGACATCTTCCATCTGTGAGCAGATTTGGCCTTCTGTGGCCTGCTCTGCTTCTGGCCTCTTATCAGCCCCTGTCACCAATCAACCATTGCAATAGGGCTTTTGGAAATGATGAAAACCTGCACATGGCCATTTTGGAGTGCAGTTTCTGGAGTGGTAGCCCCATCTGATTAGTACTGTAATGAGTGTAACAGTCTTCAAAATCATGTCATTGTGTGACCACCTGAAGTGCAGCACATGTACAGTACATAAAAAAAGTGCTGTACAGAAATCTAGAGCCCTTTTGAACCTACATGTACTGTATCAGGGACAGTGATCACATGATGGCCTAAGTAAGGAACAAAGCTATTTACAGTATGTATATTTATATTTACAGTATATTTACAGTACCTGCAGCATATTGTGGCTAGGCTGTTTCTGAGCACATACAAAATGCTCTAGGTACAGTAGGTGGAAAAATGGTTGTCCTTTGTTTCTTTCTTCATAACTGCTCAAAGCAATATTCTGCTTAAGAACTCATCACCTGCATTGCTATTTAAATATTGTTTAAATGAGGGATTTAATAGCTGTGCACTTTAATTTCAGATATTGATGAGTGCACTATTGGCATTGCCCCGTGCAACAGACAAGTGTCAGACTGCATCAACACAGAAGGGAGCTATCTCTGCGAATGCCATGCTGGGTATATTGGAGATGGCCTACACTGCTCTGGTAAAAATACGTCTTCACTATCATTTTGTACAGATTCAAAATATTAAGTAATAACTACAGCACAGAGGTTGCTGTATAAGCTTTTTAAAGTTTTATTAGCCTAGCATTTGTTAAAAACAATAAAAATGTTATCAAAATCTGGTACAGCACTCAAGAACAGATAATTTTAAGATAAGTTTAAGACATAAAAATGTGGAAAAAACTTCTGGACTGCATAACTGATGTTTTGGTGACTTTTTACATGCACAAATGCTGAAGTTATATCAGGAGTTTCAAGGTAATCTTTAATCTGATGTCAAGATAAGTTTTTGTTAGTGGTTACTAACACTACACAGAAACTAAAGTTTCATTTCTGTTATTTTACAATATATGGGTCTACTGCTGTGCATGTTCTTTAAATCAAAAGAAAGCCTGAACTACCCCTATCTTTCAAGACAATAATTTCTAATCATAACAATTATTGTAGCAGATACAATAGCCTATACTGTATGTAACAAGATAAACAATTCTGTTGATTAAAGATTTCTTAGATGCTTATTTACAGTGTAATGTCATTGTTTAAAGTAGACAGGTTCACCGCACCAGATAATTGACATATTGGTTTCCTGGTTTAATCAAAAGATATTTTGATTATATGGATGTTAGAAGCATATAATGCCTTTTTTCCAGATATCGATGAATGTAAATTGGAAACCCACAACCGTGACAAGCATGCTGTGTGTGTTAACACAGAGGGGAAATACTTGTGCTTATGTAAAACTGGATACACTGGGACTGGCTTTATATGTACAGGGTACTTTTGAACTTTCTCCTTTAAATGTCAGGTACTGCAGATTATCATTACCAAAGTATAACTTTAACACAAGAAGTCCTTGTAAAGTGATTTCACCATGACAAGCTAATAAAACATTCAAGAAGGTTGAATTGATTGTTGAATTATATTTCCATCATGACAGCACTTCTTAATTTGAACTCCTGTATTGACAGAAATAAGAGAGAGCTTTACAGTTCCCGGGAGATGACTCAATTGTACTGTATTTGTGGATTGTTTTGATATTCTGTGTAAATGTCAGAACCAATTGTTTCCTGTCACACTATCCCTGCCTGTGCATATTGCAGAATCGATTACCGCTACCTCATTGGTAAAGACCATCAGCCCTCATGAAACAACCACACAGTGGCCAACCAATAATCTCATTGAGAGCTGCCCCTCTTCACATGAGACCTACTGTCTCTATGGAGGAGTCTGCTTTTACATTCCCGAGATTGGATCCTATGCCTGCAAGCAAGTATCTCAGATCCATTCTTATTGATAAGTCTGGACTTTAATCTGTTTTGTTTTGTCTTCTCCTCTAGGCACCCAGCCAATGCACAATCAATGAGGTGTTTAAATTCAACCTTCTGTTTGTAGGAGGCTGGGCAATTTTTAGTTTTTGATTTCTGAATCTGTTAAGCAAGAAATGTACCAATATAGCATCTCTCCAGATCTTTCAAAGTGCTAATTTTTTAACTGCTGTAAATTAAATATCTGCAAATCTTCAGGAGATGATGATCTAAGAGTGAACAACACATCTTGCTTGATTGCTGTTCTACAGGTTATGCCACTCAATATCTAGTGTTTAGCATTCTAAGAATTGGACACTAGATGGCAGTAGTGCTACACTGTAAAGATTGTAGATGTATCGCAAGCTCACTTGAAAAATCTATTTTCAGCTGTGTAAAGGGCTACATGGGCGAACGCTGCCAGTTCAGTGATCTGGAGTGGTGGGAATTGCAGCAGAAGGAGGAGGAGAAGAGACGGAGCCTTACTATCGCCGTCTGCATGGTGATACTTATCTCTCTGCTCTCCGCGGCAGCCTGTATAACGTACTGCTATGGGTGAGGTTCAGTACGCTTCACATACTCAGGTCTCCAAAAGATAAAATATATTGAGATTATCCACACCTTGAAGGAAATGTGATAGCTGCATATCTACTTAATCTTTTTTTAATTCAACAGCTAAGTAAATATAGTTTTAATTATGAGGAAATCCTGTATAAATAGGCTTACAGAAGAGAGGAGGCTATTTTGCCCCTTTTGTTCACTTGGTAGTTGAGCAGATCAGTAAATCATAAACTTCATTCATCTACTTCTTGAAAGAGCCCGGTGTTTGGTCCCCAAAAACCAAGCTCGGTTACACAACTTTGTTTTTTAAGACTACTATTATCAATACTAAGTCTTAAGGTTCTAATTGTAACCCCACTTTCCATTTTAGCCATCCATTTTTGAACTGTTTTATCTAATGCAGTATTGCAATGAAGCTATAGCCTCTTCCACCAAGCAAGTCCTTCACAGGGAACACACTAACACAAACACGCATGCATTCACACTAGCACCAGTTTTTCCAGAAGTTAAATAACCTACCAGTATGTGTTTGGACTGTGGAAGGAAACTCTGCACATGAAAAAACTCATGTAAACACGGGGAAAACACACAAACATACATACAACTCGGGGGTCCAGCACTGCGTGAGGGTTAACCTTTATGTACGTTTTAGAATTCTATACACTAGCATCAAATCACCTCTCCAACTCCTTTATTCTAGACTAAAAAAGATTGAATTCCTTTAGCAGGTCTGTAAAAGACACTCATTCGAGACCAGGAGACATTCTTGTTAATCTTGGAGCTCATCTTTGTATGGGTATGATAGATTTTGATGGTGTGGCGATCAAAAATGAAAACATTTATGAGATCTTGCTAGCGTATTGCAAAATTTGAACATAGTTTTTCTTGATTTAATTTCCACACTTTGTTCGCTACACACTTGCCACTCCTCACCCATTGTATCGCCTGCAGAATTAATTAGTTTGCTAATTATATCATATATCTATACTGTAAATCCTTATAGATCAGGAAGAACAACAGGCCTAAAATTAATCATTATGGTAAACCACTTTCCTCATATACCCAGTAATATGGGGTCTTTGAAATACAATTTGGATTTTCCTCAAACAGGAATATAATAGACACATGCAGTATTATCAGGATATCTGTATTGCAATATCAGATCAATTGTGTTTGTCCAGCCTTTTAAAACCTGTATTGTCAATAGAGTGCAACGACTTATTAACATGGATGCATTATAATGCTGAATAAAATTACATGATCTAGATATTATTATACAATAAATAATACACGAAACAAAAAAATATAAATCTGGGTTTAAAATACACATAGAAACAGTAATTTCTGAATTACATTAAGTTAGGGTAGCTGTATTACTCCATGTTAAACAGGATATTTTGAGACAGGACAGGATTAAGAAATCCCTTAAACTAAAGAAACTGATTGTAGAAACTTGTGTCTAAAAATATGACACTTGCTGAATATTGTTGTTAAATGATGGGCACAACTGTTCACAATTCCTTCTGTCCATTCAGTGAGAGAGCAGGTAAACAAAATTATTAATTTATTTGGCTTTGGGGAGGGAGTAATTAAAGGTTTTATGCAGAGCTTAGGTTAGGGCTCTGGAAGTAGATGGTTATAGCAGTCGCAATGCTGTTGAACCATAAAGCAATATGTTTCACTCAGATTGTTTCAAGGGTATACAAGTGTAAGTTGTTTTGGATAAATGCATCAGACCAACAAATTAATAATAAGCCATTATTTGAAGGATTTCTTTGCATTTCTTGTTTTTCGATGCATTAAACATTAAAAATATGTCATGTAATCATTATAGATGTTAGACAATTGATTGATGGAGAGTTATACTTGTGCAGTTTCTGTTAATAAAATGGGCACAGAACTGATAATGCAACATACAAGAGAAAGAAAGTTAGATTCCAATTAACAGTTAAAAGCAGTTTTAATGTGTACAGATTTTATTTTAATGTATTCATCTGAGGTATTAGTTGATGTGTTTGTTTTGGTGATTCAGTGCATTATAAATTCCAGAGCAAAAAAAGTGATCAAGATATAGGGATGTAAGATATATATATATACTGTAGAGAGGGAGCTAGTCCAACATAGTTACTAGCCTGCAGCCCTTAAACATTAGACCTTTGATAGGGCATAATATTGCCATAGTTCAGGTGGGTAGCTGTGTCAGCATGCGTAGGCTGCAAAGGAACAAGTAATAGGTTTATTCCATACTGAATAGAAGAGAGAAAACACAATGTTTTTGGCTGTGGAGCCTTCTTCAGGTGTAAGAACCTTATTCATGGCAATAATATTGTAGAAAAATAAGAGTAGAAAAAGTAGTGTGCATTCTGAATTTGGGTTAATAAATGACTGTAAAATTAACATAAATCTGTCAAGGACAAACTTTTAAAAATGTGATTCAGTTTTTTTAGTATATAATAAATGAACTTGTTTATTTAAATGCTAGAATCACCTTTAATCATAATAATAAAATGCTGTGGGGAATTTCCTTTTTCTTCAAGAAGTCTCCAACCTCAATTATCATTGATAAATATTGACTCCATTGTTAAATATTAGGTTATGAGTGATATATTCTTGAATATATGCAAGTGAATGTGATGCATTAAGGAGCCTGTAGATCTCCTTCCAGAGTAATAGAAACTCTTTGACACTGAGATATGTGTGTCACTTGTATTACACAAGATGACTTTTGCTTCACAATACATATTGTGACCTCTATTAATAATAATGTTTCTTTATTAGCCCTATACAATTTCTTGCATTAGGAATGCGTCTTTTCACATACCCCAGCTTTTCTCCATGGAGACACAGACACAGAGACAGGGAGAGAAGCTTGGGGTCAGAGCGGAGGGTCTGCCATTGTACGGCACCCCTGGAGCAGTTAGGGTTAAGGGCCTTGCCCAGGGGCCCAACGGAGTAGGATTCCTCTGCCGGCCACAGGATTTGAACCGGCAACCTTCCAGTCACAAGCACAGATCCTTAGCCACAGAGCCACTGCTCATGCCTTTACATGACCTCAAACCCTCTCATTTTTCCACATTTGATCATTATTACAGAATTTCTGAATTTATTCAACTGTACCAAGGAGCCAATATTTTTAAGAGAGTAATTCCTCATACAAATGTACAGTAGCTGCTTCTTCAGGTATCTCATTTAATTTTATCTACTGTATGTATCTTTTTCTATTAATAACCATTCTGTAAATTCCATAGCTGTGGATTTAGTTTCCCTTACCATACCATACATAATAAAGCTAAATCTTGAGAATCAGCATTAAAGCTGATGTTTTCAGTCAGAAGAATATTTTGTTATTTTTTGTGTTTTAAAGTATGTGCAAGAAAACTAGACCAATAAAGAAATCTGTCAAAATATTCTTAAAATAATTTGTCCTCCTTTCTTACATTATTATCATTACATTATTGTTTAGAAACTTAACTTGTAGTGTATATACAATGTAGTTCACTATTCAGATTTACACTGGAGCTTTTAATGTTTTGTATTAGATACGAAGAAGTATGCATGTATTTCCTTACATCTTAAAAAAAAAAAACATTGTTAAAAACCTGGACATCATTATTGGGTAGGGTTCATTATTCTCACTCAAAGAAATAAAAAGATTTGAGTCTTTGTGTAAAATTTGTGTTCGTGTAAAATTCAGCCCCTTAATCTTCAATGGGGAAAACAGTGCAGCGACAATAGATTAAAGTAGCTGCACCTCCACCATGAATGAGATCATAGGTATTAAACTCTCAGCTGAAAATTTGTAGGTGTCTATCAAAGGGTAGGTTGCGTGGTCCATGTAATGTCGGTGGTTAAGTGAGAAAACTAAGATCAGGTGTGGAACAGCTTTACTGTCAGTTCACCAAAACAATAGAAAAAAATTGCAGATTAGTGGTGCGACTGTCTTCAAACTCTATTCACTTTTGGTCCTTAAGTACATGATTCCTTTTACAAATGTTTCTCTGATTCTGTCACACTGCATTGAATTTGCTCTTTTGACTTACAAAGCAGCCCTGATCAATTCAGCCCCCTGCTTCCTTGTGGAAGTGCACGCTTTCAATTACATGCTTGGTTTGGCTTGTTCTACAGCAATTATGGATAAAAATAGGTCATTTCTGCGTCCAAAAATGGACCCACTGATCTATAACCTTATTTGAAAGCTGTGTGGTTGCCAATATTTCTGCCTCAAATTGCCTTTCTCACTTGACTGGTAGTGTTGTTTTTATAGTGTTTCGTTTTTTTGCCCTGAAAATTGCTTCCTGGTTTCCATCTAAATCTGTGTTTCCTTCTCACTTCAAATAGAATGCATTCCAGGGTCACCAAAATCAAATATCTACAAATTATCATAAAGCCACTTACTTCTGAGTAAAAGTGTTCAGAATTTAAACTCCTTTTTACCTCTCAGTTGCATGAAGTCAATCTTTCCTTTACTATAAATATTATCTGTAACAAATTTGGAGAATCAGGAAGAAGGTTTTTTGTCAGTTCCGAATGACATACTCCTTTTAGAATCAAGGGTAAAATCCAGACATGTTGTCATCTGTTATGCTTTTATTGTAACTATTGTTACTGTATGTGATCCATGAAATGAAAAATCAGGGCGTGGGGAACTCATATCACTGAAAACATTAAGAAAGGCTGCTACCAAGATCTATGGCCTTTTTACCTGGATGCTACTGGTTTATATCCAAACTATGGAATTTTCTCACTGTGAGGTACTGTATCTTACTGTAACTGCCATGGTCTCTGTCCATTGACTTTGTGTAAGTGGCTTGGCATATTCTTGTTGGTGTATAGTCCACATCCTTGTCTCTGTAGGTTACTACTAAATGACTTCTTCTTATGATGGTGATAAGTGTGATGGAAAATATATATATATACAAAATATACAATTGATATACTGATGGAAAAAGAAACGCAACATTTTCTGGAATGAGAATACTTTAGTTATAATTTATGTTCTTTCACAAAAAAGTTGTAAATTTGTTTTAAGCCCTCTGACCAGCAATATAGCTTGAGGACTGAGGCATTGTAACTTGCCAATCACACGAAAGCTCGTTAGGTGCACTTTTTTCCAACAAGGTCCATGTGGAACAATGCCTGATCAGGTCACCTTTAAAAAGGCCTTGATTCACAGCTTAGGTCACTTCAAGAAAAAGGCCACACTTAGTTAGTTTTCTGTGCATTCCATAATGCCTCGAATGTCACCAGAAGCAAGGGAGAGGGCCATTGGCATGCTGTAGGCAGGCATGTCATGTGCCAGCATTCCCAGACACTATGGACTAAGACGCTCCACTGTGTCCTTATTGCAGAGAAGGTTTCAGCAGACCGGCAGGACACATGAACGTCCAAAATCCAGTTGCCCTTGAGTGACCACACCAGAGCAGGACCGACACATCAGACTGGTCCATCTGAGAGATAGTTTCAAATCTACCACCCGTATCGCTGCTGAAACAGATACAATGCTCACATCAGTGACAGGACAGTGAGGCTCCATGCTGCTGGCCTTAGAGCAAGGCGAATAGATGGCTAGCAAGGAGTGTGGAAGAGGAGGTGTTGGGTTTCTTTTATCCATCAGTAAATATAGAAAAATATGGTTATATTCATAATATGATGGTTGGCTTCTGATTTTACTTTTCCACACCTGAAGCTGTGTCAAGATACTCTTTGGGTTCTTTTTAGTTAATCTAGGATTTAATGGCATGGTCTTGAAAGGCTGATAATATAAAAACAATATACTATTTTTGATTGTTTCTTTTGCCTTTTGTTCTGTGTTTTTTTAATCTACAGGGCAAAAAGACACTCCCCAAAGAGTCATGATGCTGATGAACTGAGTGACACATGCAGCAATGTCGACAGTGTGACTGAAACTATGACTAACAGCACACAACAGGTAAATACACAATGACATGGGCTTGAGAATTACTGTACTACCTGGATGGACTATTAGTGCATATTATATGAGTCACAGTTACTAATAGCAATTGTCTTCCATCAGCATTTCCAAAGGATAAACAAACGGGAGCAAAGGGCAAGGTAGAAAATCAACTTTGTTAAACAGCTTCTGGTTTTATTGTTTATTTGTTTATTTTACTAGGATTATGGGAAAATTCTCAAGTTTATAGAGTGGCATGATACCACGATGTTTAGTTCTGCTGCTGATCAGAGGTCCTAGGGTTATTCCTTGCTTGGTTGTTTGTCTGTGGAGAGTTTTTTTACTCTACTTTCACCCCAAAAGTAGAGATTAGGTTCAGATCTTGTTGCTCTTGAAAAAAGCGGCTCCCCTTCTTGTTTGTTGCCTGTGATCGGTGTAGGATGCCTGCTGTAAATGCTATTGCTGAAGTAGTACAGGTAGTGGCCCTTCTTAAATGTTATTTACGGTACCAGATAAATGTTTGGATTGGGCGATATCTTTTGTTGCAAAACCGGTACTTCCCCCTTTCTTTATTCTGGAGTGCATTCATACATGTTAATGCAAAACTCTGAATTGTAGCAACATTACCATAAAAGTATTCCATGAACAATTCCCTAAATATATCACAATCACAAAGAGTTTAATTCCATTGTGACCATATTTAATTAACCTATTTAATTCACTGTTAATTCTTCCTTATCTTGCTCCACTCCACTGTTGCTGGTAAGTAATTGTGGCTGGGTCCGGTCTTAATCAAATATTTCTAAACATTCAAGACTTCATTGAGGATATGACTTCTGAGCTCTGAAAAACCATACAAGCTGGATAGGAAAAAAAAATAAGCAACACATTTTCAGTCATTTAATATTTAATCAGACCTTCATCTGGGAATTTGTTCTAAGTATTGCTTTGTGACCTACGTTCATCGCAGGTCATTGTTAATGACATATTCCATCCATTATCACAAAGCTGCTTATATCTGGATAAAGATCAAAATAAAAGGTCAGAGAAACCCAATGTCAATCCCAGATGCATAGGGCATAAGGTTGGACTACACCCTGAATGGGACACCTGTCCATCACAAGACACACACCCATAAGCACAATTTAGAGACAGCAATTAACACAAACAGCATGAATTTGGAAAGTTTGAGGTAACCAAAGTATTTGGAGAAAACTCACCCACACATGGAAGGCTGACCATGCAAACTCCACACAGAAGCATCTCAAGTCCACAATCAAACCCAGGGCCCAAGAATTGTGAGATAGCCTTGATAACCATTATGCTGAAGTAACTTCCTCAACAACAACAAAAAAAAAAAAAACAAGCATACAAGGAACACAAAGAAACTGAGCTGAAAAATAGATGTTCATAAAATTTCCAGGCCAAAATGTCAAGAGTCATTATGACTGAACAGATGGTAGTCCTTCAGCAGGTGCCCACTGTGTCCATTAAAACTATTTTGCTTCCCTAAATATTAACATTGATAAAATTGCAATGACAGGCTCAGATCGATTTATTGTGGTTGTTTTGTAATGATGTGTGAAAAAAATCTAACACATATTTCTATTCCAGATCAAGGTTTTTTATCATGTGCATAAAGGAATTGTGTTATGGATCAGATATAATTAATATATTTTTTTAGTCACTCAGTATTCTGCTACAAAACACAAACTAACTTTATGATTAATATTGCAAATGTGCAAAAGCAATATGGAGAACTGCATTGTTTTGTAACTATATTCCAGAGATTCTTCCAAAGAGCAAAGGAAGTGATTATAAATTTACACCATACTGTAAATATCCAGGATAGGGTAATCTGGAGTAAAATTACAATATACATTGTATTTAAAAAATAAGAAACCATATAAGAAGAAAAACATTAAATAACCAAATACATTATCCTTCCCTCCTGCACTGTGGAAGAACAGGACAACTGGAACCTGAAGGATACACTGTCTGCTATATGTGATAGATATAGTCTCCTATTATTTAAATCCAAACTCCAATAAAACAAATATCAACAGAATAACTTTAACAGAATAATTAATACATTGCTGCTGTCATGCCACTACAAATGGCTTTACGACATTACAAAGGGATTGTTTTAATTGTACAGTATATTGCTCTAGTAAAACAAGTAGTACACTATACAGTAAACATTTCCCCATTTTTCATAAAACATAAAGAATCAAGTCAGATTCTGTCTGGTCAGTATTTAAACTCATAGTTTATACCATTGGAACATTTTGGGATCTGAAAGAAGAGCAAGGCATTAACTTTACACTAATAGTCCAATGTACAGTACATATCAACTGTATCCTTAATCTTGGTGCTGGATGTTTTTTTCAGCTATAGTTCAAGATCAGTTTTATGGTTTATTAATCACACTCAGGGGCTGGAAGCTTGCAAATTAGTCAATTATGGAGGTTTGTTTGCCAGGGGAATGATACAGGATACTGACCCTTAATGGCTGCTGTGCATCCAGCAGGAGGGAGGTATTTCAGTGATGGATTACGTTTGTTCCTTCCTGTAGGTAATACACTTTGAGAACCTTTGTAATGAAAGGCACAACAAAAATGCAAGGAATTACTATTATTGTCCATTCATTTTCTAACCGTATTGAAGAATACAGGTCTCAAGGCAGGATACACCCTGGACAGGCTGGCAGTCCATCACACACCTACTCACACCAGATACAATATCTTTGGACTGTTGGGGAAACTGGAGCACCCAGAGGAAACCTATGTGAATGCAGAACCCCACAAAAGAATAATAACTACTGTATAACTGTGATGCCCTCATCATATTAAATACATTTGACTTGTTAACCTTTCCCAAAGTGAATCCCTTTAAATGTTATAAATGGTAAGATAAAGCAGATCACTACTGGTAAAAAGACCAGGCACAAAACTTGTCCCCAGGGTACATGGTAGACAGTAGTTTTAATAATAAAAACACTTAAATGTTTTTTGTAAAAAACTGTTTACTAACGAACTTGTAAAATTCTTGAATTGATTGTGGATTTTTTGGTCGAATGCATATACTAATGACCTCCTGCAACTCTTAGCTGGTATGCTTTCTGAAACATTTCTTCTTAATAAAAATGTATAATTACATTTTTCCTTTGCAGTTCTATGTTATGCTAGAGCATGGTTCAGATGGGGAAGGCAACATCATGCATGTCATTGGGGGTAAACGAACGTGTCCTTCTTGCTCATCTGAAACAGGTAGCTATTCTTCATTTGCTGTGGTCATTTGGAAAGAAATAATATGAAGAATAATATGATCCTTCCCATATCCAAATGGTAAGCCCTTCCCTCCCCAATCCAAAGGGAACCAAAACAATCCCCATTGGATGGAGGTTTTTATGGGTGAGCTCAACAACATTTTTACATTTATAAGATCACTTTATTAGCCATATACAATTTCTTGCATTAGGAATTTTATGGTGTCCACCTCCACTCCCCAACTAATCCCATACACCCACAGAATGGATAGCCCATGTGTGCACATTAAGACAAGAAAAACCCCACCAGTGTCACTGGATCTACCTCTGCCTCTGCATTAGAGAAAAATATCAAATGACGAGTCACCATTCAATTCAAGAAAGACCAGACACAAGGAAGAGTTTCCCCAGATTAGTACTACATGGCTAAGGAGATCATCTACCCACAGGTGATCCTGGTGGGCAGTAATCTTTGGGGAGTCAATGAATCCCATCAGAATTGTTCACTACTAACTAGTCAAAGTGATGGTCAGTGTTTTATTACAAACAGCATCACAACAACAGCTTCATCTACAAGAGGTGTGCCCCTATTTCAGACAGCACTGGCCTCTTACGTTCAGTATTTTAAGTAAGGCAAGAAATGGAAGAGCCTAAGGAATATCACAATTGAATGAAAACATACTGTAGGTCAAAAAAGACAAATTAGATAACAAAAGGTAAATTATAGGGTGAGTGGAGATCATGGATTTTAGAAAGATAGTTGTTTTATGTGACATGTTCTAGAGTGAGAGCCTAAATTTTATTTAATGTTGTCATGAAATAGGACCATTAGCATCAAACCAGATTGTGTCTGAACACATACTGTATTAATAGGTTACTGAGTACAATGTGATCTATACATAGGGAATGGAAGTGTCAAGCAAAACAGTCATTTTTATTGAGTGTATTTGGCAGTGGAATCCATCCATTTACACCTACATTATTGTTTATGTGTGATATTTTAAATTAACACAATTTTGTGTAATGGTGGGTAGAGTTCTTAAACCATTTTAAGACAATTGAAAGTGCTTAATCATCAGTTGATTACAGCCAAAATTCAAAATTTGTCAGTTATGTATTCAGAGGCAGCAGGGATCAGTTAGTTTTATATACTTAAAGTTAAATTGTAGAAGAAAAATGTGAGTGAATGGACAACATTTTCAAAAACAATAAAATATCATTAGTATAAAGTGAAATGTGAGGCTGGAATCAATAGGAAAAAATGTATCAGACTGTCACCAACTGGATTCTAATAATTCCCATTTGATTATGAAGATTAATTTAGTCATGTAAGTTTCAAATTAGCACTGGTATATATTTTAGTATTCATATTTATTAGGGATAGAGGGAAATAGCTAGCACATTCTGTTTCGTTGTTAATAATGACTTAGTGGTATGCATGTTTGTATACATACCCTTTACTATAGTTTGTGTGCTAAAAGGTAAAAGGTGTGAAAAAATATTTGTGGGGATGCTATCGGACCCAGGGATTTGCTTTGACTGGGGACACAGTCAGAAAGAACTCGCTACCCCCAGTATTTGATTTACCACTGCTGAAGGCAGTTTAAGAAACTTTTACATTTACCACTATCTAGTGGATTATTAGAGCTGCATGCTTTTGAACAAAAGGAGCAGAATTCAAAAATGATTAGAATCACAATGAAGACCATGTCACCTCTCAAGGTCTTAAAATAGAATGTTTACAAAGCTTTCTGCAGAGACTTAAAATTAGAAGATGGCTCAGTCTGCTGCCATAATAGTATAATTCTGATCATTTTTTTGTATAAGAACACATACATGCCTTTTACACAAAAGACTGAGTTCTTTTCTAGTAAAATCAAATGATAGCACAACTGTTTGAACTGTGTATTGCACAATTTTAACATAACATCCCATGATTTAAAGTCTACACTTTTAATTATACTACTGTATACAGTATGTTCAAACATTTTTTTCCTTTGTAATTTCTTACCCACATTGTCAAGAAGATGAAAATGTATCAACATGTGCACCAAGCCTTTTTTTATATAAATAACTTGCTTCTCATCTTATATTTAATGGTTACATGAACTGATATTTATAGTTTAACGATCCGTGTTTTTCCTCCTTGATATCTTGATTGGCTATTCATTTTTCTCTGTTTCATAAAACTTTTTAGAATTCCTATAGGAAAGCCATTTTAAACACACTGCAGTATGTTTGCATTCCTTTCTATTGGTAAAATGTTGATTTTAAACCTCACTGAAATGCTGTGCTATCAATACAGACCGTACATTTAAAAAATGCTTTAGGAAATGAAGGTTGAGAATTTCCTTTTGTGCTACACATCCTTGTGTATCTACAATTTTATTCAGGTTTTTCATCCTATGTTTGAACAGGGGAGAGCTTTGTGTCTGAGGAACCATCCCCAAAAGAGAAGAAAAGCTCAGGATTCTCACCCGAGTTGTCTAACGGCCCCCATCAACTGGGGATGGAGGCCAACAGGACTGGCCTCCACCTGGATAAAAGAGATATTCTCTCTTTTCTGGAGGAAAATCAACTGGCTGGGATTGGGCCAAGTACAGTAGTACCCCAACCTGTCGGAGACTAGTTCTACCAGTGTTCTGCATTACACACTGCAGGGGATTAATAAATACTCTCAAGTTAATCCATGTAAGCTATCTGAGGGTAGTACTCCACATCTGATTAAGCTATTCACGTATCTTTTTGCATCTGAATGAAGTACTTCTGAAAGGGAACGGAGTAAAATTTGTTCCGATGTAGAAGTAGCAATAGAGATTGAAAAGAAGAATTATTTATTTGTATGCTTTCTGTTTACTGCTGCTGAATCTTCTTTGATGATACACAGAAATTAAAGTATTGTTAACAGCTTGTGTTTGCCTTTTGCCAGATAAGGGACCAAGAATATTAATTTTTGAATTAATTAATTAATAGATGTCTAAAATTATCACATTATTAGGTTCAAAGAATTTAGCTCTTGTCACACACCCAGGAGGGGAGTGAGAACTTCCATACTGGCTAAATGAAATTCAATTTTAAACTACATCATTCCCTAATTACAAATTACAAATAGCTACATTCAGCAGGATAAAGGTTTCAGAAGGGATTTAATGCTAAGCTATTAAACCTGTGTGCTAACACTGGAGATAGGAAGTAAGTACAGTATGGTTTTTAAAAAAAACATTTTGATGGTTTCATTTGAGAACTGACATCTTTTATATACATGTATCGATAGTGTGCTACACTGGTGGCTGGAACTAGCAGCTACTGTATGTGAATATTAGGAGTATTGTTATGATTTGCCAAAAATAAACTAGGATTAATTTACTAAACTAAAGTCTTAACACAAAGAGTTCAAACAGCTAACTTTAAATTATTGTTAATTAGCTGTATAAAAATGGAGGAGTTTTAGTAGAACCAATTTAAAGTGTTTTAGCTCCCAGAGGGGTGTAAGTGTACAAAAATATCCTTCTAGTTATGGTTATGTACTGAGCAAGTTTTATTTCAGAACTTTACACTTTCCAGAGCTTAAATCAATTAACAAAGAAAATTAAAAAAATAATTTAACACTGCAAGCTCTTATCCATTTCCCTGGTTTTGAGAAATATGTTTTTATTTATACAGTGTTTCATTATATTTCTTGCATTCTTGTATTTTGCTTTTACATAGAGAGGTATTTAAGAAATAATGTTTTTTTTTTATTTTAGAATCACTGTTAATAAATAGGGCTCATTGATACGATTGTACACTCACAGCACTCAAAATCACAGGTATCTTAGTGTTTGGTGTTAATCAGGAGGTCAGGTGGTTTCAAGCCAACCTCTAGTCTACTGAACCTCTGCCAATAATTATTCCCAACCATGACCTTAAATGATAATGTTGGTTTTATTTCAATATGTGTTATTTAACTTACTGAAGCTACAGTATCTAAACCCATTTAAGAGCTGAAAACATATTTGATCTTGTAAGTAAATCTATGCAATTGCTAGTTCTCTTAGGGGCTGCATTTAGTAAAGGGGAGGCCAGCTTGAAACTACCATGCAGCGTTTGTCCAATTCTGTGCTCAGCTTTGGGGAGTCACAATCCCTTGTCAGATACTGTACAGCAGGTTATCTCTGGTGTATTCTGGATCTCTGGTCCAACCTATACAGGGGCCTTTTTGTTTCATTTAGTTCAACGTTCCTATTAGTAGTTAATGGTGATGTGCATTGTGCATATCCTTAATTTAAAACCACAATGTCTGCATAGAATATGGTAACAACAGCTACTTAGTATTTTCAAAGTACTAGACAGCACGTTGGACTATTATACTCAGTGTAACTCGATGTTTAGTTTTTTGCAGGGTTGTTTGCTAGGCTATTAACATTAGAAGCAAAATTTTTAGGTAGCAAGCCATGCTTTAGAAAAAATAAATATTGACCACATACAAGCAATATACAACTGGACAACTGTCTATAAGTAGTAACTATCCTTGAAAATAAAAATAGTGAAAACTTCTTATACTTCTGGTGAGGTAATATAAATAAAACCATCTTATTTTTTAAGGGTATCATTTTCTGCTAATGTCCCAAGAATAAGAAACTGAACTCAGGGCATCAGCACTGCAGACAAGCACAGCACTTCTGTAACAGCACAAAAACACAAATCCAGGAATACAGGCATCATCAGGGGATTAACCCTCCTGTGGTAATGGTGTGCTTTCTTGTGGTGCATACAATGTGATTTGACATGCCCTTCACGTCCTGTTCATTGTGTGAAAACTGGATCTGAGCAACTTTGCAATACCATCTTTTTACTTTTGCTCCTACATAAAGCTTTGTTGAGTTTTAATTCGGTTACCCATCATGTATAAGTTTCCTTTCATTTTTCCTTTCAAAATAAAATAGCAGTCTTTTCTGTTGCTTTTCTATCTGTTGTATCTTTTGTTTATACAGTGGTCTAAAATGTTTGTGAATTTCATGGGCTCATTAGTGCTTCAGTAATTCTGAACCAGAGCTTGTTTTCTCTGTCATCAATTAAACCATCATGTAAAACAAATATTTTGGTTTATTTGTGTTAGTATCCATTAATCTTTTACTGTTATGATTTTGTTGTAGATGTTCTTTTAAGGGGAGGCATGGAGGCTCAGAGGTTATCATTGCTGCCTCATAGTGCTGGAGCCTTGGGTTCAATCCCTCGGGTGCTTTCTGTGTGGAGTTTGCATGTTCTCCCTGTGTTCACATCCTCCAGATGCTCTGGTTTCTTCCCACAGTCCAAAGGCATACTGGCAGGTTAATAGGCTTCTGGAACAACTGACCCCAGTGTGAGTGTGTGCTTGTCTGTGTCTGTATCTGCCCTGTGATGTACTGACGTCCCATCCAGGATGTATTTTGCCTTGTGCCCATTGCTTGCTAGGACAAGCTCTGACTCCCCGTGACCCTGTATTGGATAAAGCAATTGGAACATGGATGTATAGATGAAAATTAATTTCATTTACTACTTAGTAATTTGCTATGGACAATGTCTATGGCTCTGCATTGCATGAGTAATTAGTGTGTATGGATATAGGAACATATTTGGTGTACATCCAATGCTTTTTCTTCTCCTTATACAGTATTGAAAGCTTATTTTTAATATTCTTAAGTTTTTCATTTAATTTTTCATTTGACAGTCTTTTAATGTTATTGTTTCGTCCTATACACTGTTTTAGACTGTTAATCAATTCATCCTTCCAGTCTTCTTACCTGCTGAATACAAGCACGGGCTGTCTGAAAACATACACTGTGATTGTTCCTGTTTTCTACATACTGTAAAACAAGAATTAATGCCACAGTTAATCTGAAGTCATTTTACTTCACAGGTTTTCAGGAGACAGAGCCATGGTGTAAATATGTTTTAAACTAAGTTCTGTAGAATAAAATAAATGCAAATGAAAATATAGTAAAGGTTTCAACTATTAAACTTTCCGTTTCTTGTATGCGCTCTTGAGGACTTACAAGGACAGGGTTACTCTCCCTGTAATAACTCACTGATCTGACTCCTCCACAAAAGATTAATTCTCAAGATGCAACATTCAACTGTACTTATTAAATAGATGTTTAGATAAAGGTGCTGTCATCACCCAACAAAGCCACATTGCTCTGCCTGTTCACACATGTAACTAACAAGTACATTAAAAGTTTCAGGACATGCACAACTCCACTCAAAGGAATGAGAAGACCCAAACCCCAAACACGAGACTCAGGAGCATCATCAGAGTGACAAAGTAAATGAGCAGCACCTGTCTTTGGAGAACTGCTGGCAGAAAGTTTGGACAGAATAAATTGTCTTACTAGAAATTTACTGCATAACTGTATTATGAAGTCAAAGATATTGAAGGTACCTGGATCGATTTAAGAATACTAAGCACCTTCTCGTCAAAGCTGTATATACTCTACGCATATGGTCTAGTTTTTGTGTAGTATTTAAAAAGCATTTTGGTTATCCTTATACATTTGAAGAACAATGCAGCAGTGCTCTTTGAAACATCGAAACTGATTTTTAAAAGACCCTTCAAAATGAACTCTGACATAATGTAGAAAGACATCCCAAAAACTATGTACAATACCTATCCATCCATCCATTTTCTAACCATTATCTTCAATACAGGGTCACACGGGCGCTGGAGCCTATCCAAGCAAGTGGGGTAGACCTTGGATGGGATGCCAGGCTATTGCAGGGCACACACAGACACAAATATATCAATTATCTCACCTGGGACAATTTGCCTTCCAATACAGTATGCGTTAAGACTGTAAGAGTTAAGCCAGAGGTACCAGAAGGAAATATATGTAATAATAATAATAATAATAATAATAATAATAATAACAATAATAATAACATCACTTTATTAACCCTTTACAATTTCTTGCAGTAGGAATTATCTTTTTGCATACCCCAGCTTGCTCTCCATGAGACACCCAGACAGGGAGAGAGCCTGGGGTCAGAGCGCAGGGTTTGCTGTTGTACAGCACCCCTGGAGCAGCTGGGGTTAAGGGCCTTGCAAATCATCTTTCAAAGTAACTTCAGTTTTATTTCTCCTGAATACCATCCATGCATTTGAAGCAAAATTAGGATACAATGTCTTCATTCAATATGGAGATCCCACACAACTGGATGTTTTTGAAATGTTACAGTACAATTTTACTTCATTATTTCTGAATGACGGTCCTTCAAGGCACTGCTGTGTTTGACTGTGCACAACTGTTTGACTCTTAGCATGCCTGACAGGAGGCAGTTCCCGGGCAGAAAGAGTAGTGTGTTGCCACATTTTATTTGGACACAGAGCCAAGAAAGCTAGAGGTGCCTGAAGCAGGAACAAATTCAAATGCACAGCATGACCAATTGCTAGAGGCAATCTTAAGTGCCTCTTCTTTGTCATCTTTTGCATCTTTTTCTTGACTAATCATTAAATACGTTCTAGCTATTCTTCTAATGACATATAGTAAGAAGTAGTGAAACAGCAAGCAGGCGCTTATTCCTATGTGGTGCACATCACAGGACAATCTAAGTTTCCTACCTGAACTGTTGCTTCACTTGATTTCACAAAGTAGCCTATTGTTCTGAAACAAGGATTAATTTACAAGCCTCACTTAATCCCGTGCATTTGAGAAAGAACACATTTCAGTTCCAAAGTTTGAAAATGCTCCACAAAACCTTTCAGTCTTTTCTATTCTGACACGACTGACTCTAGCCACACCCCTAAAAGAATGGTAGATATTAACCCTAAGGGTAAGATTACTCAGTACACTCAAACTGTATTGTGTTCTGCTAGACATACACAGCTCTGTGTGTTAAAAAGGAATTAGCAAAAAGTAATTCAATTGTTTTTCTCAAAATATCTGTTGCAATTTAAATTTTGATTGATAGCAGCATTCATTTACCTTCTGACTTTCATTTAGGAGTTGAAATACATAGAAACCCACTTTATATCCTATATTTGGTTTTAGATTGTATGTCTGGGTGTACAGTGTCAGCTTTCGCTTCTTAAATTGCATAAGATTTTAAGTCTCAAATCATTTCTGATTACCTGTGAATGCATGACAATATTATTTTCATTAAAGGGGAAATATTTCTTCTTCTTTTAAGCACCACAACAGTTATACGTCTATGACTCTTTCATGTTCTAGAAATAAGTTCCTTTTTCAGAGAATTCATAGAATTGTCTGCCTTGTCAGGCACGTCTGAAGGCAGTTATCATTTAACAAGAGTATTGTATCTTATTTTAAGAATCTTGGTGCTTGGCCTTATAGAGACAAAAAAGCACTTTCTTTCAAAACCACCAGAGAAGAAACCAACGAAATCGATATTGATTTCATGAAGCAGCACACTTATCTGTATATTGCTCTCCATTAGAAGAGACAGGACTGGTTGGTGTAATACTTGCAAGGGGTTAGATTGGTCTCATGACAAAGGTGAAATGAGACCCAATGTCAATTTCTACCAAATTACCCTTCACTGAAGCCAACAGTGAAAAATGAGTACGGGTGTGCTTATACTTTGAAAAAAAAAACTGAGTGGGTTGTGCTTTGATTTGAAGATTGAGTTAAGTTCCAAACAAGCCTTCCTGGCTTCTTTGCTACTATTGCCTCAAAATCCATCTAAATTGAGGTAGTGTCACAAATATTTTCTTATATTACTTATCTAACAAATAATTGTCCTGATTTCAGTTATTGAAGGTCTTATATGAATATATTATATATTATGAATATATTCTTTCAGAATATGTATCTTAATGTGTGTAAAATGGTATCTCTCTCTAACAAGTGTAATGAACTGCAAGATAAAGTGACCAGATGCCAGATGGCCTCATAATCCCCAAGACACCTTTGAGACAGAGCACGTTTTCACATTTGCCACAAACCTTAAAGCAATTAAAGTGCAAATTGAGTACTAAACCATTCCAAAACTAATGCTGGTGTTTAATGAACATTAATTTTCCTAAGTTTTTGATTTACCTTATTTATTCATCTATAATTACCTTTTTGTCTCTTTATGTCATCTCTTTACAGCAATTTTCTCACCATTTTATCCAATATGGCAGCCCTACATCAACATTCCCTATTCAAAATACTGTAGGTTAAACTTTTGTCAGGCTTTTCTGGTACTCATGAAAACTATTTACTATTGAGGGTCACTGTGCAAATTATTTTATTAAAAGAAGTTTAAAAGAAGATGTCAAATTAAACATAATGGTAGCAGCAAAATAAATATTGCAAATATTGAAGTAGTGACTAAAAACCACGTATCAATTCAAGAAAAATTAAGCTCTAAATTTCTCTCTCAAATGAGACTCCATTTAAAATCATTTTAAATACAACTGTAATACTTCTTTCATTAAATAATTATTTCTTTTTCATGAAAGTACTAAAGAGAAAAATCAGCAGAGAATGCATTAGGATATGAGGAGGTTGCTACCTGTACAAGCTACAGTACGTACACTTAGAGCAAGAAAGAGAACAAGAACAAGATCTAGGAATTCACATCACCAAGTTAATTAGTTTGGAAATTTAGGGTAGTTATTGGTGGCATTGGCATTGGTTTGGAAATTCTAGTTCTGGGGGAAGAGTGCCACCTATTGATGCTCAAACAGGTACATCTTGGTTTTGCTTCAGGTTCTCCCACTTCTGAAATGACCAGTGGTGTTAAACCTGCTTATAATCCAGTGCTCCCGAACTCCAGGCCTGAAGGGACACAAAGAATACAGTTTTTGCCTGAAATTCTTAGCAGAAAAAGTAACAAAGGCTCGCTTAACTCAGTCATTTCTTATCTTTCCCCATGTCTGTGCGTAGTTAGAACTGATGACCTCTATGACCAATTGGAGTACAGTCCTTGAAAACTAAATTTTAGCAACACTAGAATCAATAAACAAGGAAACAAAATATATTGCAT